AAAAGCATCCTGATAGGATAGTTTGGTTTCTCTGTAACTTATCTTTATTGGGACTTCTGAAATAATCTCTGAATATCATGGGACTGACTTCAGAAGTGTGGGGCAGGATTTCACAAAGGCTCAGAATTTGTCATTTCTTGTTTATGAGGATTGTTGCCACTGATGAATATGGTGGTTGGTTAGTCACAGTGCTACAGAAGGGAAGGGCCAGCTTGACTGTAATGGAAAGAGCAGATGTCAGCACAAAAATGTCAAAGTGAAGGCTTCGGCTGGCAGGGAGTGGTCGGATCTGTCCATTACCACTTTTCAACACTTTCAGAATTAGAGACAGAAAGAAAACTCACAAAATAACTGTGAAAGTTATAAACAAACAAGAAAGGTAAATGAAATATGGTGCTTAAAATTTCCAGGCTGCCAATTAGGAAAGGAACTGATATTACAGATCTCGTGGTCCATAAGGGGGAGCACAAATGATTTGGGAAGTCAGTGAAAACAGTTCAGACATGTTTAGATGCCAAAGATTTTAAAAGTTGATCTCTTTTGGCCTTGTAAGATTTTATGCATTTTTGTTGTTCCAGCCCAGAGGTCTAAGGATTAGTGGATGTTTCTGCCAGCTTGGAACTCATGTGGTGAAAAGAATGTACGCATGTGACAGTGAAAAAGTGAATGCACAAAGATCAAGGGCTTCTTCTTAACATTACCATTGTAATCTGGGTCCAGTGCTTCAAAATAATGCTAAATTAGTAGTTTCCTTAAACATTTCTGTTTATGCACTCTAAATATGGCCATTTTCATCTCAGGGTTGCTTTTTAAATGCTATGTGGTTTTCAGAATGCTTAACCAGGTAGGGTTTAACTGCCCAGGAGAATAGAACCTGACCCCTATTCTAAATTGATCTATATGGGGATCTAGCTGTTCGTTAAATAATAAAGAATTAGGAGCAATTTGGATGTTTGGATTTTAATTTTATATGGGACTAATTAACTAATTAATTCATATTGTTTTTTTTTAACCTACACATTTTATTGATGAGAGGGAAAACATTCATCTGAATAGCTTAGAAGCATGCAAAGGAGAAAAGGGAGAAGACAAAAGTTCCTTCTGTCTCCAGTATTTGTTAAGTATTTGCCTTGAAGCTAACACAGTCCTATTAATGATGGGTTTTTCATTACTACAGACATGCTTTTGCAATTTTCCTAGATATCTGCTCCAGGGTCACATGGTAAGTCAATAGTAGTTATAAACCTCTCAGCATTGTGATCAATACCTTTGGCTGACGTAATCCAGATCTCTGGTGTAATTTACAACAAAGGACAGTTTGGGCAAGCCTCTGTTTTATTACCTTCAATTCACCTACTGAAATATTTCACTGGTTTATGACTGAAGTTATTTCCAATTTTTGATAGATAGGGAATTGAAATAGTCCTGAAGAAAAATGTTAAGTATAAAAAGGAAAAACACTTTATGGATTAAAAGCAATAAGCATTTCTTCTTTTGGGGTATAATGTCAGCATACCTATCTTATGAAATTGTCTAAAGCACCACAAGAGTGAATTGTGCGCATGTCTAGTCATCCAGATGGCTTACAATACTAATGAAGTATTCCTTATCTTCCAAACACTAAACAATATAACTAAAACAATATTGTACTTAGTCTACTTTTTCCTGAATCTGAATAATTATTAACCATCCATTTGAGCAAAACAAGGAACAGTAATAATCGCAAGACATGAAGAGTGAGGATTGTGTCTCTTATCCTTGTGCCTTCATGCAACTTTCCAGAATTTAGACAGATTTTCCCCCATGTCTGTTGTATATTCTAGATCTGGAGGCTAAACAAGAAAAAAAAAGAAACAAGTTATTGGAGAGGCGATTAAAGAAATAGTATGGAATTTGAAAAAAGAAGGAGGCATTCTTCAGATATCTTGCACTAAGAGGAGTGCTGGCACGGTCCTGTCATTGTCTTGCCACCATTCTCATCCCCAACCTGCACTGCACATCAATACACAAGGATGAGGTAAAATCACAGCTCTTTCCATTTGTATAAAGCAGTTATGAGGTGAGGGATGGGGTAAAAATTTGGATTTAAACATCTATAAGGTCTCTTTCAGACTTAATTTCCCTTTCAATCAACTACCCGTTACCTTTACATGGGTTTTTACTGCCTAAGGCTGAAGATAAAAATAATATCTCAATTATTGAGCAACTATGGTGTTCCTTTACACACTAATTTTTAGCCCTCAAATAACCCTGTGAAGTAAGTAGGATTAACCTATTTAACAGATGAAGAAACTTAGATTGAGAGAGGTTCAGTATTTTGCCCAAGGTAAGTCAGAGCTTGATCTATTTGCCTAAGAGGCTTCACTTTGGTGTGTTAAATTGTGATGCCCTCCCTGATTTTAAACTGTATTACAAAGCTTTAGTAATCAAAACAGTATGGTGTTGGTATAAAAACAGGCACTCAGATCAGTGGAACAGAATATAGAGCCCAGAAATAAACCCATACATATATGGTCAATCAATTTACAACGGAGCAAAAATATACAACAGGGAAAGGACAGTCTTTTCAATAAACTGGAAAACTGGACAGTTACATGCAAAAGAATGAAACTTGATCACTATCTTATGCCACACACAAAAATGAACTCAAAAGAGACTAAACACTTGAATGTAAGACCTGAAACCACAGAACTCCAAGAACAAAACATAAGCAGTAAGCTCCTTGATATAGGTCTTGGTAATGGTATTTTTTTGAGTCTGACTCCAAAAGCAAAGGCAATACAAGCAAAAATAAACAAGTAGGACTATATCAAACTAAAAAGATTCTGTAAAGCAAAGGAAACCATCAACAAAATGAAAAAGCAACCTACTGAATGGGAGAAAATATTTGCAAATCATATAATATCCAAAATATGTTTAAAAACCTAATAAAAAATAGCAAGAAGTTTTAAAAAATCTGATTTTAAAATGGGCATAAGACTGAACATTTTTTTTTTTAAAAAAGAAGATAAACAAATGGCCAATAGGTACCTGAAAAAAAAACTCAGCATCACTAATCATCAGAGAAATGCAAATCAAAACCACAATGAGATATCACCTCACACCTGTTAGAATGTCTATTATCAAAAAGACAAGAGATAACAAATGTTGGTGAGAATGTGAGTAGGGAACCCTTGTGCACTCTTGGTGGGAATGTAAATTGGAGAAGCCACTATAGGAAACAGTAGGGAGGTTCCTCAAAAAATTAAAAATAGAACTTCCATATGATTCAGCAATTTCACTTCTGGGTATTTATCCAAGGAAAATAAAAACACTAATTCAAAAAGATATATGCATGTTCATTGCACTATTATATACAATAGTCAAGATATAGAAAGAACCTAAGTCCATTGATGTATGAATGGAACGAAAATGTGGTATGTATATACAATGGAATATTATTTGGCCATAAAAACGAAATCTTGCCATTTGTGATAACATGGACGGACTAGGAGGATATTATGCTAAGTGAAATAAGTCAGGCAGAGAAACACAAATACTGTCATTTCACTTACATGTAAAACAAACAAACCCAAAACCAAGCTCATAGATACAGAGAGCAGATTGGTGGTAGCCAGAGACAGGGAATTGGGGTGGTGGTGGAAGAAAAGGGAGAAGGGGTCAAAGGTACAAACTTCCAGTTATAAATTGTGATGCTTCTTTAAGGTGTTTTACAGATCTAACAAATGTATAATTTTAATATTCACTAGTTGTGTAACTTTGTCTCTTCCATTAAATTCCTTGGGGTGGGAGGGATTGTTTATTCTTAAATCCTCATTACCCAGCATAGTACCTAACGTATGTAGATGCTCAATAAATATTAGTTGAATTAAATGAAATATTAATCAATTTCTTTTATATAATACTAACTTATTTCCTGAACTAAATTGGGTAGGTTAATAATGGGAGATGTCAGCATTCAAACATTTGATGTGCTTGATGTTTTATCACTTCATATTTCTTTAGGAGTGCCTTCTGTTGTGTAGGTCAGAGAGAGCAAAAATATAATTGATGCCTACATTGTGAAGTAAAAAATCCTGTGGTAATTAATAATTTAGAGCATCAAATAAATTTTGCAAAGAGTTATCTTTTTATCCCTCTCTCTCTAGAAATGTACACCCCTCCCATGTCAGTGTTCACCAAACATCATGGAAGCTACATAGGTAATAACTGTATCTGTGGCGGTTTATTGATTGAGGATAAAAAAATCCTGTTTCAGTTCAGCAATTATTTGAGAATCTATTAAGTTCCAGATAGTAGGAATATAAATAAAGATGACAGATTCTTGTCCTCTAGGAGCATGGAGTCAGATTGACCTTCCTATGAAAACACATCTCTTTGCTGGGAGGGAGAGTGGCTGTGTTCAAGGGTTGACTTCTCTCTCAGTAAAGAATCAGCCTCCACTGTATTTTGCAGGCACAGGTTTAAACTTGGGCCTTTAAAGATTTTTTAAAAATCATATTGCTCCAAAGTGCTACATGATTCTTAGATGAGTGAAACATCACCTTTGACTTCCCTTACCATTACAAGAATATTCGCAGAGGTAGTTTTCTAGTAACCAGGGGCTCCTGAACGGTGGGTTCCCATGTAGTGGATAAGAAGGCCCTTCTCTCCCAACTAGCCAACTAGGTATCTCTGTGTCAACTATGGGTTTGCAGCTCCATTGTCATATCTTCTGGTCCAAAAATGCACCCTGCTGGAGAAGAGCATCATGTTAAAGTGGGGCCAGGTGCTCTAGCAGTTCAAAACTTGTCAGAGAAATGTAGGTAATTTGGCAAAGCACCCTTAGAAAGAGACTTCCTGAGATTCAGAGATGCAAATTCTTTTTAGCTGTCCACACATTAACTTAAGGATCTCATATATGGAGGATCTTGATGCAGGCAGGTGAAATCACTTGTAGGCTTCCTGCCATAATGTAAATGATGGGTAATCAAGCATGACTAGCAATAACCAACTCTCAGTTTACAAGATGATACATCACTTTATTTTTAATTGTATGATTTATCAGAACAATAACTGTTAACATAAGAAGTACCATTCAGCTCAACTGCAGGTATAGGCAGTGACAAGTATTTAATTCTTAGAAGAATCACTTACTCTCACAATCTGTCCAGACACATTAACCTAAGGACACGTTTATAAATAGCAAACACGACTTTCACATTACATCTTTCTCAAGTGTATAAGGTGTGCAGACTTGTTCGATGGGTTGTTTCCACAAGTTCTTTCTGTTTTTGATGCATTCATTCTCTTGACATTGGTAGAGATATTTCTTTCTACAAAGCAGATTCACAATACCCTGTGAATTAATATTACTCTTTACACTTCTAAAATAGTAATATTTGAAATGAAGTATCTTTGCACTACAATTCCTTGTGTTTTGTGGTAAGTTCCACAATTGTCAAAGAGCTTTTGGTTGTAATCACTCCCTTGCAACAACAGCCCAACTCTACTATTGGATTTCAGTGCAACACACCCTCTTTATAGCTTGCTGTATGATGTAATGAGGGTGGGGTGTACTGGCAATCAGCACATTTCCTTATCATTGTTTACAGCCATTTTAAACCAAGCCATTATTAATCCAAGCCTGACATACCTTTTCTGAAATGTTCACAGTGCAGTATTTTTGTGGCCTAACGAAAGTTTTCTTATATCATTAAAAATAAACATTTTTATAAAAATAGAATATTTTAAATGTTTATACAGAGAAGTCCAGTTAAAGTATCCTGTGCCATATGCACTATACAGTAGTAAGCACAAAAATCTCACAAAACAAAAACATCACAAAAGTCCTACCAAGAGTAACTGTTCATCCAGGTGAAATATACAGAACTTTCAATTGCCTTTTTTTTTCCCTAAAACATTTTTTGCTTAACACAGAACATGTCCTAATGCAAAAACTGGACTCCCCAAAAGTTTTATTTTCTCTATGTGTTTGTGAGATAGGAAGCTGCCACTTGAAAATGAGGCTAATATTTCCAGTCCATCGATCATTTCTTTGACCTACATATGAGCCAGATTGGAACCAATAAGTTTTTAGTCAGATGTATTTTGCTTTAAAAACATGCTAAGTTACCTTGAAAAACACTTATCATCACAAAGTACTTGTTTTATTTTCAGTCAGCATTTAAAAAAAATAGAGACAAAACATCTAAATGTCCACATTCATTAGATCAGAGCAGTATTATTTTCAAACAGTTGATTTTTAAATGACAAATATTTCATTATGACTAAACTATTTTATGAAAATTCTTAATGTCATCTATGTACAATATGTTTAAACACATTTTGTGTCCTATTAAACACATTTTGTGTCCTGCTGATTTGAAACGTTAACTGCATTGCCTATGGATATTTCTCCAATAAAAGGAATGTGTATGCAAAAATTTAGAAAGGAATGTTTGCCTAGTAGGCAAATGACAACATCAGTAATAAAATATGTTAATGACTATATAACACATGAAAGCTCTTTGAGACACTTCAATTCTAAATGAGTGGTCTGGTCCCAGGGCTGCCTGGACATTACCACTTCTGAATTTTCTGTGATCAAGGAGGCCTCAAAACTCATTGCCTTAGTTCCCCATATGAAATTGGGTAGGATGCTGATTTTTAAAATTTCAACCCAGAATTCAGGTTCTGGACCGAATGTGACAGGAGCATCATCAAAGCTGCAGGGTTGCCACTGGTCATTGGCCTATGGGACCAAGTTTCTGGTTCTGATGCTTTGTCAGATGACAAATTCCTTAGAATCCAGTCATTTAAAATAACAATATAAGGTCCTATAATAGTGCAATTTTGGCAAAAGCAGGATATATCTGGTGGCCTTTCAATTGGCCAGGCAGTGAAAAAATATTGGTCATGATGTGGACTGTTGTTTGGATAGTTCTAAGATGTTTATCAGAAGGCGGCTGATGGCGTATCCATCCATCATGTGTCCCCCTCGCCATCAACTTTGTCTTGTGATGACAACAGAGAAGGGTATGGAGAAACACATTTGATATTCACATAAGTAGCATTCACATGGACATAGTGTTCCCCAATGAAAGTAGAGAATATTGCTGATATCTTGGAGACCAGTTCAGAAAAGGATGGGCGCAGATCGGCTTTGGGATGCCAGCATTTTAGCATCACTTCATACCTGTTTCAGAAAGGAAGAAATGCTGTTGAGACACTTTGAAGACAAGCTTTTCTGTAAAGGTAAATATTATAAGAGCTGCAGAAGATTCTTTTGGAATTCCTACTTACAAGGGATCTGGGCAGTATTCAGGCTGTAAGAGCCTTCTGCCTTGCAACAAATAAACTGTTATATCAAAGGTGTTGACGTCAGGATAAGGTGGTGCTCCTCTTGTCATCAGTTCCCAGAGGAGCACGCCAAAGGACCACTAGTCAAACAATGGAAGGGAGAATCCAGGTGAGAAGTATGACTGCACAAATATAAGAGCGATCAGTAGGTCTTAATAACTAAACTTGGCTTAGCATATTTAATACACTTGCTGTTTGGGGCAAAAATTTCCTTAAAGGCAATTAAGCTATACATTTTATGATTTGTTTAAACCAGAATTGGATAAAGTTTAGATTACAAGTAAACGTAAAGTTTTCAAAAAGAACATCTGAAGTCCACATGATTAAAATTTCATCTGTAGTTCACAGAGTAGGGTTTCTAATTCTCTCCTGCAGAGGCAAAGCATTAACAGGTTTCTATCCTTCTCTTTCAATAGCTTCACTACAATTTTAGATTATTAGTAAAAGAAGACAAGCCTTCCAAAATTTAAATTTGTGGGGTTTCCAAATGAATGTAAATAATCAAGATTGTAACCATATCTAAAAGTTAATGTTAAAAGAGAAGATCTAAGTCAGTATAAGTAAAAGTCCACATTAAAAGTCAGAATAAAACTGCTAGGCAACAAGGCTCTCTACTGAAAACTAATTTTAATAAAATATCTGTAACTTGAAATGTTAAAAGAGGAGGTTAATATAAAATAGCTGTATCAGTACTTTATAGGAAGATTGCAGGGACACGCATGGAGAGGTTAAGTGACTTGCTAAAATTCTCCAACAAGTCTTAATTCATGGTGGGATGAACATCTAAAAGTTCTTGGCTCTTGGATCTTGCTTGGTCTGCTGAATTTGACCAAATATACAATTTCTTCATTTAAAGCACTATACTTGGAATAATACGTCAGGTCATACATACATTTACCTTCTCCTGGACATGTGCCAAGGTGAGAATGACACAATGAGAGTAAGTCAGCATGTGCAGGTCACCTCTGAGCAGAAGACCTAGGAAATCAGTTGCTGCTTAGCAACACTTCCTGTGCACTCACAGACTAAGAGGCATATGTGGAGAGAAATGAGAAAAAAGGAATCTTGGAGGAGAAGGAGGATATAGACTGGACAGGTGGAGTAGGAGAACATAACACTGAGAAGCAAGTGTTCATAATATTCAGCAGGAAGGAGAATAGAGCATGTCTTTGAACACTGTGGCAAAAGGAAGAAACTAGGCAGATACTGTAACTGCTGACACAAATCTCCATTAATGGCTCTTTCCTTTTGCCCAAGAGCAAGAGCCCTTAAAGGCCACTGACAGCTTTGATCCAAAGAGAGAAAATAAACTCCTTCTCAGGTGGGAACTAGATAACTTTGCTGTCTTCTGCAGCCTTTTAAAATCAAAGTTTTCAACGCCTGCAAATCTTATGAGTCATTTCTGACAACTTCATTGTTTTAACCTTCAAGTTCCAAAATTTGCATTAAAATTTGAATCAATTTAACACATATCTACTGACTCTTGATGGCGTACAAGTTACCGGATAAGCTCCAAAGCTGATTAAACAGGGTTAAGAATATTATGCAATTTAACTGTCATGTAGAACAATAAAATATAACAAAAGAGCAATAACAGAAAAGAGTTACAAATGTGGAAAGTTAGAGAGATAATAGTGGGTACTGAGAGACGCTTCAAGAAGAAAGTGACAGTAAAGTGGGTCTTAAAAACAAGGGAGAATTTGTTTTACAGGTACATGTAATGTGAGGGCAGAGATAGAAGGAGTGGGCCAAGAGGTGAGAGTACAGGTGTTTTTATTGAACTATAAGTACAATAGTCACTGCTCAGTGTGTGGACTAGGTGAAGGGATGAGGGACAGATAAGGTTGAAAGGGGACCATGCTGTGGGGTTTTTGAATGGTAAAAGTGAAATTGATGGTACATGACTGAAGTTGAGCTCCAGGAGATTTCATCTTCTAAACACTATGCTTTAGGCCCGGCCGGGCGTTGCTCAGCGGTTGAGCGTCGACCTGGGATCCAGGCGATCGGGGTTTGATTCCCGGTCAGGGCACATGCCTGGGTTGTGGGCTTGATCAATGACTCTCTCATCATTGATGTTTCTATCTCTCTCTCTCTCCCTCTCCTTTCCTCTCTCTGAAATCAATAAAGATATATTTAAAAAACAAATAACAAAAACAAAACAAAAACAAAAACACTATGCTTTAGACAAATAGGAGGAGTCGATTTATAAGTTTGAAACCAGTTAGGTGTTTTCTGAACAAGAAGAGGTGAGGGATTCTACTGCATACTGGAACATGGAAGCCTATGAACTTCCAAATTAGGGTAGTGAGAGATGGTATGTGTTATATAATAAGCTGGGCATGGGTATCATGTCCTTTAAAAAATGATTATCTTATCCTTGTAATAACCCTGTTATAAACCTGTAATGTAGTGTTTTATAAATGCTTTTTTTTAGAAAAATGTTTTTATTATTGATTTTAGAGAGAGAGGAAAGAAGGAGAGGGAGAAACATCAATGTGACAGTAAAGCATTGATCGGCGGCCTCCTGCACATCCCCTACTGAGAATCGATCCCACAACTTGGGCATGTGCCCTGACTGGAAACCCACCCTGAGACCTCTTGGTTCATGGGATGACACTTAGCCACTGAGCCACACTGGCCAGGGTTATAGATGTTTAAGAAGGAGGAAACCAAAGTTCTGAGAGGCTTACTACTTGTCTGTGATAAAGTCTCCTTAATCAATAGCCTAAGCTATAGGTTTGTCTGGAGGCAAAATCATATAAAAGGAGGCAGAGCTGGGTAAATTTCTGAGCAATACTTTGGATTCAGAGGAAAGTTGGAGGACTTATGGGACGGGAGAAGTGCGAGGGCAGCAGTTTCCAGGAAAAGCCTTTCCCTTTCACAGCTTTGGGCTGGCAGGACAATGGGGGAGGGCAGCGAAGAAGGAGCAGGATGCTGACCATGAGAGAAGAAGGGGGAGAGGGGAGACAGAGAGGGAGGTGAGAATGTGTGTGTATTAGGAATGATGGAAACAAGCCAGTTTCAGTTTCAAGACAGGAAAGCTCTACCATTCACACTTACTGTGTGAACAGTCAAGCCATTCCGAACATCTGAGCACCAGAAGTGAACTCATCTGAAGAATCTTTGCCCAACTTTATTAAAACGGTAAAAAAGCAGTTGTTATATGTGAGATATTGTTCTAAACTACAAAACATGATAGAAAGGGTCACTGCTGAGGTAAGCAAGGAATGGTGACAGCCAAATTTGACCATTCAAGAGTAGGTAAATTGAGATGCAACACAATTTATTAAAAACCATGATTTAAAAAATGGGTAAATTGATAAATTTTCAATAAAATTATAAACTTCCATTCCAGTAAAATAATTAAAAGGAAAGCCACATGTGAGAAAAATACATACAGACCTCAATAATTCAACAATAAAAAATAACCCAGAAAATAAATTCTAAAACTTTAAAAAATGGGCAAAAGCTTTGAGTAGGCACTTCACTAATGGCGGTATAAAAATGGCAAACAAGCACAACATCATTAGTCATTAGGCAAACACAGTGAAAAAGAAAATGAGACACTACTACAACCTATTCGAATGGCTGAAACCCCCAAAACTGACAATGGCAAGTGCTGGTAAGAATGTTGAACTGAAACTTATATATTACTGGTAGGAACATAAATGATACAGCCTGTATGGAAAAACAGGTGGCAGTTTCTCATAAAGCTAAATATAACACTTATCTTACAACCCAGTAAGATAAGTGTTACAATCCTATTTCTAGATATTTACCCAAAAGAAATAAAAATTATGTTCACACAAAAACCTTTAAGCAAATGTTAAGGCAGTTATAATTGTATATAATTGCCTAAAACTGGAAAGAACCCAATTGTCCTTCAGATGGTAAATATATAAACAAAATGTGGTACTTCTGTACAATGCAATACTACTCAGAAATAAAAAGGAGTGAATTACTCTATGAAAAACAGTACAAAGGGCCCTTAAAACATTAAAAATAGATCTACTATATGATCGAGCAATCCCATTTCTCGGTATATAACCAAAATAATTGAAAAGAATCTTGAAGAGATATTTGCACCCCCATATTCATAGCAACATTATTCCAATAGCCAACACTGACAGATGGACACATAAAATGTGGTACATTCATACACTGGAATATTATTTAGCCTTAAAAAGAAGAAAATCCTGTCATACGCTACAACATGGATGAACATTAAGGTAATACTAAGTGAAATAAGCCAATCACAAAAAGATAAATAATATATGATTCTACTTACATATGGTACCTAAAGTAGTCAAACTCAGAAACAGAAAGTAGAATGGTGGTTGCCAAGAGGCTGGGGGTAGGGGAAAATGGGAAGTTGTTCAGAGGATATAAAATTTCAGTTTTACAAGATGAAGTTCTAGAGATCTGTTGCACAACAATGTGCATATAGTTAACATTACTGTACCCTACACTTAAAGGTGGTCAATTTTATGTTGAGTTTTTTACTACAATAAAAAAATAAATGAACTACTGATACATTGATACTACTGACAAAATATGGATGACTCTTAAGCGCATTATGCGAAGTGAAAGGAGACAGACTCAAAGTTTTTTACTGTATGATTCCATTTAGATGACATTCTAGAAAAGGTAAAACTATAGAGACAGAAAACAGACCAATGGTTTCCAGGTACTAGGGGCTGACCACGAAGGGGCACACGGAATTTTTCTGGAATGACAAAACTTCTCTATATCTTGGTTGTGGTGCTGGTGGTAGCCATACAGTTGTATGGTCCAGACTCCCTAGCTTGCTTTCCAAGATAGTTTTCTTAATTTATTCTCATAATTCTACTTTGTGCCCTCCATTTTTTCTGGTCTTCCAATGCTTACTGTTTCCATAGAACTTTAAAGAAGTGTATACTTTCCTGCCTCTTTGCCTCACCTGTATTGGCATTGCTTATTTCTTTGCCCATTACATAGCCTTTAAGGCCCATTTTGAAACCGAGGGTCCTTTATTTGATTAAATTTAGCTTTAAATCTTAGCTCTAGAAATATTTCTCTCTTTCTTTCCATACCCCTCATATACCTAGCCTTTCCCCTGGATAATCAGCAACCTCTGAGGCAGCAGAAGACAATAGCATGGACCTAACTAATGATCATAAGGTCTGGACCTCTGGCAGGCTGAAGATAACGTCTTGACCTAAGTTATATTTCAGTTCCTAAGCCCTAAGATAGAATAATCCCCTGGCTACTTTCTCATGAAACCAGACAGAGGGACACTGGAACAGACTTCAGAACTGTCCTCAAGAGCTTAAAAAAAATGATTTATTACGGTTACCTCACCTTTAACCAATCAGCTTCCAGCATGACTCTCAACACCTAACCCTCAGTGTCTTGTGATTTTTCCCTATGTAATCTGTAACCTACATGCCATCAGGGAATTCAGACTTTTGAGCATTAGCTTCCCATTCTCCTGGATGGCACCATTCATAATAAAGTTGCCAAATATTTCTCCACTGCAATTCTCAGGGTCTAGTGTTTGGCTCTGGTAGTGCCAGGTGGAACAGAACTCTTTCTGTTCTGTAACAATTTCAAGCACTGTCCTTTCCTCCAGGTGGAAGGGCAGTGTGGCTCTCCAGGTGAGTGTCAGTACTCAGGTGCATGCCTTTTGAAGCTTGTTCTGACAGGAGGATGACCTTTGCAGATAAAAGAGAACATGTTTCTAGCTAGGTGCAGGGATAATGATTTCACTGCTAGACCTGCCTCAGTTATTGCTTCCAGATCTCTCAAGGTAGAATCTTGCTGCCATGAATTCTTGAGATATGAGTGGCTGGGCTAATCCAACTCTACTTTGTATGGGTTTTTTATAGACATGCCTTCTCTTTCTTGCTGAGCTTAAGCTCCCAGAGGACATGGTTCACACCTGGTTCAGCTCTGGGCTTCCTAAGGATCTAGCATGGTGCCCTTCCAATCAAAATGTTTTTGAATAAATGAATTTTTAAAAAACATACTGTTGATACCATTGTAATGAACCTGTTTATTAATTAACTGGAAAGGAACAAAGGGAAGGCCAAAGAGACGCATGCCCAATACAGCCTGGGTGACATAGGGAAGGTAATTTGCCTGTTAGTCATACCTGGGAACAGGCCTTTGGCCAAGTAGGCATGGCCACTGCAAGCATGGGAAGATCTGAGATACTTAAATTCCTAAACAAAGGAGTTCTCTCTCTTGTGTCTTGGTGTGTTGCGCTTGACTCGTCGCTTTCAGGGCTCTCACGCTCCTGCATCTGTCCACATGGCCATATGGACACCACATACAATGGACTAATGGACTACAACTAACCTGATGCTAAACTGGACCCAGATCCACCACAGAAGGGAAACTCTGGGCACTGGCTTTGCTTCGAGTTCTCCTGAATTCCCAGTTGTACCTTTTCCAGGACTGGATTAAGGGAAATGGGAATTTGGAAACTGAGAGATATAATTCCACACAAATAAAAATCACTCATACTCACATGTGAGTCTCAGAAAATTATTTTTCTTGAGATATCCTAAGTACCGATTGGGAGCACCCAGTGGGGAAGGGGATCTCCCACTTCTACCGATAACACTATGAGTACCTGTTAGATAATCAAGCACTTTTACTTATGAAAAAAACTGAAATTAATGATGTTGAAAGCTCCTTTTCTTTTTTTAAAAACTTAAGTAGCCATAAAACTACTAAAAAAATTTGAGTATGAAAGTAAAAGAGGAGAAGGTCAGGGGTGATCAATAATACGTTACCACATCTGACTTGGTGGTAAACTTCTGCGTCTGTAGACTTTCTAAAGCCATCCACTTCACTGGCAGTTTTGCACCTGTTTTGTTGTGTACACTGTAGTATTCTTTATCATACATGTCTCTGGCAAGACCAAAATCAGCAACCTTGACAGTGTATTTTTCATCCAGCCTACAGAAAGGGCAAATATTATTCATGGCTAAAACAGAAAAATTTACAGTGATGCTGAATATCTACAGAACAAGTGACTTCTGTATTTGAAATCCATAAATCCATAACTCTGCAGGAAGGCTTCTTTTATCCTCAATTGACTAACACTATATTACAATGGAATTCTTGAATAAAAATGCTTGACATTTACATTGCAAATTCAATAGACCAAGGAAAGAGATCATGAGTGATGTGACATAAGAAAATTCATTTTGTTTTGGATCTAAAAAAGTAGTAAAATTGAGCCCCCTTCCAGATTTCCTTGGTTGCTAAATCAAGTATGCCAACTGAGTAACCAAAGTAATCGCCAATAATCACTTGTCAACTTATTACCAATACTTAGTCTTATAGGAGAGACAGGACAGGGCACTGTTATCTCACTTTTTCATTCTCAAATGGGCTAGGATAGTACATAAAATTTATATATTAAACCACTGAGGTAATAGAGGAACAGGACACATAGTATAGCATCTAAGAAAAAAAGCAAGTTTCAACAAAATCAATTTCTGTTCTCTGAGGCTATGTATCCCTTTGTTTAAGTGAGCTTTTATATTGTTACACTGACCAAAACCAAGGTAGGAAATTAATAGCACAGCTCTCTTATTCACTCATACTGTAAGTCATGAATCAGCGCTATGCAAGGCAAAGCACTGAATCAATTACAAACTGTTGACTGTTGTATTATACAGCCCAGGCAGTCAGACACAAATAAAGTTCTTTGTATATTCATTCCCAAATACCGTTTTTGGTAGGGCTTCTGCAGGCTGACTTCAAATCCACTCTTGGGAAGTGACAATATGTTGATATTTGTGTTATCAGCCCTGTTCTTTTCACTGTAAAAGGCTGAAAATCAAATTCTACCTCCCAACACTAATGCAGTGTGAAACCACAACACTGAGGTCTACTTTTGGGAAGGAAAAAAAAGGCAAAAGCATAGAACAGCTGTTAAGACCCTCCAGAGCATCCCTATTAAATTCTCCATTTGATATAGACAGAAAGCCCCACCTACATCTCAAGTGCTTACATATGGATTTAAAACTGTAAAAATAAAAGACTTTTGCATAAGAAGATAAAGTTTCCTCACTATTCTTAAACAGTGGAAGTAGATACCTCCATATCACTTAATTTGGACTGTGGACACAGAGGTTCCTATACTTACATACAGTTTCTTGCAGCCAAGTCTCTGTGGACAAACTTTTTGCTTGCAAGATACTTCATGCCTTTGGCTACTTGAAGACCAAAGCCAATAAGATCTTTTACAGTTGGGTTCTGCAACCAAAGAGAAATGGAAACTCATAAACTAAGCATCTACTGTTCTAGCTATGATCTCAGAATTCTGAAATGTTTATAAAAATCTTGTTTCAAATGATAACTTATGCCCTGTGTGTGTTTTTTTAATTTTTAAAATATGTTTTTATTGATTTTAGAGAGAGGGAGGGAGAGAGAAGAGACATCAATGAGAAAGAAACATTGATTGGCTGCCTCCTGCACACCTCCTACTGGAGATCAAGTCTGCCACCTGGGCATGTGGTCTGACCCCGAATCGAACTGGTGACCTCTTGGTTCATGGGTTGAAGATCAGCCACTGAGCAACACTGGCTGAGCATGCCCTCTTGATAACAGCAATCATTAATTAAGTATCTACTGTTTGCAAAGCACCAGGCTGGATGGTTTATAAATTTTGACTAATCCTCATACACTTCTGTAAGGCAGGTTGGTTACAGGAGCTCCATTTTTCAGATGTGGAACTGGAGGTGTTTTTTTTGTTTCTTTTTTTTAAAACAACCACCACCAATGCAATTTTTATTTAAATTTTTTAAAAACTATATCTTTATTGATTTCAGAGAGAGGAAGGGAGAGGGAGAGAGACAGAAACATCAATGATGAGAGTAGTCATTGATCGGCTTCCTCCTGCAGGCCCCTGACTGGGGATAGAGCCCACAACCCCTGCATGTGCCCTGACTGGGAATCCAACTGCGATCTCCTGGATCCTAGGTCGACGCTCAACCACTGAGCCACACCCAGCTGGGCTGGAGATGTTTTAAAATGTAGGTTTTTATTATTATTCAGGTATGGTGAAGCCAACGGATGGGAGACAATCACCACTGAAAAGATAGTTTGTTATAATCCCCAAGAGGAGGGGGCATGCCCTGTCATGTAAATCCACACAGGAAAGCACTGGGATTGGTCAGGAGACAGTGAGGCTTTATTGTGGTTTCTGTGGGAAGAAATGGGCAAGGCAGGGTAGGGAGGTTTAGAATTGACTAGCTTGAATAATTTCTGCAGGCGGGTTTTTGTGTATAAATGCTGTCCCCAGTTGTGTGGTACCTGGCCTTTAGTTGATTAGGGCAGAGAGATAGTGACCTAGAGCAGTGAGAGCCCTTTAAAGGAGGTGGTTGGGGTTTGGGCTCTCTCTGAATTGGCTGGTTTGCATGCTCTTTGAAGGTGAATTGTTCACCATCTTTGGGAATTTGCTAGTCCTGAGTCCCTGCAGGGTCATCAAGGCCCCAGAAGTTAGAGCACCAGAAATACATGAAATAAATAAATCACCCCAAACCACTCAGATGGTAAGTGGTGGAATTAGGATTTTAAATTAAATCTTTTAGGCTCCAAAGCCCACATGTAGCAAAATCAATCACATCAGAACCCCTCCTACATGTGCTGAAGCACCAGCTCACAACTCCAGTGGCCTGGACCCACAAAGAGAACATGAAATCTCATTCTCTTGGAACTCCATCCAGAAAACTGAATGGACAGTGGGAATCTCTTTATTAACTTTAGGAACTATAACTGAAATCACATAGATGTCACTGTGGCTTGCAGCCCTACTGGTGCCTGGCCATCAAGAACAGGGTATCTCTTTCTTAGCAGCTGCTGGGGAGTTTGGGAACCCAAGAGGCAGATGGTGGGGGCCTTGCAAGAAGGGTTGCAGCCCTACTTAATTCACACAGCATGTAGAGAGGCCAGTTCCTTGAGTTTCTCTTTAAAACACACCTTTGTTAGTAGTTGTCGTTGGTATGGACTCCTTAGGTTATAAAAGGACATAGTACTATATAATAAGAAATCTCTATCATGCTTTAACCCTGGGGCATAATATGCTAGAGAAGATAGCATATCCAGCCAGATGACTTATCAGGATAATGACAAAAGTTAAAGTGGAAACGTGGGATCTGTCAGGGTAGCTTTGTGCTTTATAAGGTAAAGTTACCCTATCTGCATACATTCATTGCCAGGAAGTATTTTATTCTTTTTCGCAGAAAATAAAAAAATTACTTTATCATCCAACCTAGAGCATATTTCCTCTGAGAAACAGACCCCCATGTTTATGAAGTTAAAAAAAATTTTTTTTTTATCAAGAGTAAAGCTACTCAATTAACTCCCAAAGGACCTTGGACACAGGGGCTAAGGAGGCAGATGCCATCTGTGTTTTCAGTTCTGGGGACTCCTTCCTCTCTCCTCTCTGGTTCTGATCTGGCCATTACTTGCTCACCCTTTAGGTTCTCTGTTTCTGATCTGGCCATCACTTGTTTACTCGTTAGTTTCTATCATAAATGTCACTAAGAGCCCTGGCTGGTGTGCCTCAGTGGTTAGAGTGCTGGTTGCGTACTGAAGGGTTGTGGGTTTGATTCCTGGCCAAGGGCACATACCTGGGTTGTGGGTTCACTCCCTGCCCCAGGTCAGGGAGTGTGTGGGAAGCAAGCAGTTGATGTGTCTCTATCACATTGATGTTTCTCCCCCCACCCTACCTTCCACTGTCTCTGAAAAGCAATAGAAAAAAATAGCCTCAGGTGAGGATTAACAACAACAACAACAAAAAATGTCACTAAGGAGCCTAAGAACCTCTTTTGTAACTCTGAGCTCATTCATTCAACAAATGTTTACTGAGAGTCTATGGGCCAAACACCACTTTAGGTGTCAGAGCTACAGCAGAGAACATATACACAAAAATCCCCACCCTCATGAGTCTGCATTTTAATGGGATATGTGTATTTCTGTGTGTGTTTACACACATCCATATATATATATACATATATAGCTGTTTATTAATTTATTGTCTAGCATAGCACAACAGAAATCTAATGCAAGTCAAAAATATAATTTAAAGTTTTCTAAAAGTCACATTAAAAAAGTAAAAAGAAACAGCTGAAATTAATTTTCACAATATATTTTTCAACCAACATATCCAAAATATTATTTCTACATGTAATTAACATAAATAATTATTAATATTTTACCTTTTTTATACTAAATATTTAAAACCTGGAATGTATTTATACCTGTAGCAAATCTCAATTCAGACTAGCCATATTTCACATGTGGCTCACGGTCACAGTATTAGACCACTCAGGCCTAGTGTGTAAGAAGACGATAAACATGATGGAGAAAAATAAAACAGGGGGGAGAGGAGATAGATTGATGGTGGGGGGAGAGGGTTGGGTGGGTCACTTGCAATTTTAGACAGGTCAGGAAAGCCTCATTTTGAAGGTGATATCAGGGCAAAAGGCTGAAGTTGAGATATGTGGATATTTTGGGGAAGGGGGTTCAGGCAGAGGAAACAGCAAGTGCTAAGGTCTAGAGGTAGGAGAGTAGTTGGCGAGTTTGAAGAATAACAAGGGACTCATTTGTAATTAATTCTTCAATGGCCTTCCTTCTAGAGCTAACACTCCATGTGGACTGAGGCTAATTATTTCTCTATGTCTCCTGTGCTGTGCTGTTTCTGGCTCATAGTAGGCCCTCAAAGGTGACAAAATGTACCTATCAGGGGGATGGTAGAGCAAGGCTGTTTGCAGGCAAGTTAAGAATCATTGCACCAGGGGAAACCCTTCTAGGTATCACTATGTTCCCACCAGGATAGAGAATTTTCAGGTACCAGTGGATTGAAGCAGCTTTTGTACATTTGAATGGTGCTAACATTTTACATGTGCTTCTTTTGCTAAAAAGCTTTTTAAAAGGTTCAAAACAGGCACATTTTGGAAGGCTGGCTGGCTTACAGCTAGTTTACAGGTTAGTATGCTTGGTAATATACTTACATGAGTCTCATTTCTAATGAAATTTCGAAGATCTCCATGTTTCATGTATGGTAGGACCACCAGTGGAGACCCCTCACTTCGAAGGCAGATTCCCAAGAGTGAGAGAACATTGGGATGACTAAAGTCTTTCATGATGATCCCCTCAGTCAGAAATTGGGAAACTTCTCCTATGTCAGTGATTCCTGAGAAATCCAGTGGTGAAGACATTGATTTCATTACAGAACAATGAATACTTTGTCATGTTCAGATAAGAAGAGCAATGGCAAATAAAACCATAGGATTCCATCTTGTCCTGGTGCCTCATCCTCGGAGTCTTTTTTTACAATACATCTGAGTGAATGATGTCGCTTGCCCTGCACTGTGCCTTCAAGTTGTCACCTACACTCATTTTTGTAAGTTAGAGTCTAGCTAGCAATCAGTTTGTCTCATACAGGAAAAGGAGAGGAAAGTAGGCCAGTTCATTTCTAAAGTGACTGTTTAGGGTTATGGTTGACAACTTTTTTGTAGAACCAGATAGTAAATATTTTTTGGCTTTGTGGGTCATATGGTTTAAAATATTCAACTCTGCCATTGTAGTGCAAAAGCAGCCATAGACAATAAGTATCTGAGTCTCAATAAACTTTATTTTGGAAAACAGGCAGCTAGCCATAGTTTTCCAATCCCTGGACTGAGAGGATTTGAAGACCAATCATTGCCATATATCTAAATAGACTTTTTTTGATTTTTAATCATTTCCAGATAGAGATCCTGAGGGCTTGACACTAGTCAGCATAATGAAGTTAACAACCTTTAATTTATTAATTTGACTAATATCAGTGAGAGTGATGATATTCTTTTACAAATGCAATGCATTCTGAAACCAGGAAGTCCAAGAGATCAGTGCACAACAGGAACAGGGAAAGATTTCTTGGTGTTAGGATTGTTCTTTGTACAATGGGCAGTAGTGCTGTTCTGTGAGGCAACAATGAAAATCATACTTAATCCATTACAGTGTATAGTTAGGTTTTACATAAAACCTTTAATTACCTTGTGATCAGCCTTCCAACAAAATCAACCATATAGAACACTACTTAGCATGAAGATTTATGTGTAAAAAAGGCTGAAATAGTTCTGACAATAACGTATCTTGCAGAAAAACCTTTAACCTTGTGCCTTTAAAACTTATTATTCCAACATAAATTTGTAATGTAGCTGGTTAACATTTTTCAGGATGCTGAAAATTATGAGCACAAATTTGGAAATTTAGAAAAGGCAAGCACACGGACTTGACATTTGAGATCTGTCCGCAAAGATGGAGCCAGGCAAACACTAGTATGAGGAGTACACTGGGTTGTACAAGACAGTAATTTATGCCATAATTATGGTCATCAGTAAAGTCTTAGTTTATGTTTGAAAGCAGTGCTTGTTTTTCAAACAGAGTCTGCATTCCATTTAAAAAAGAGTTTCTCCATAACTGCTAACATTTTAAAAAATGTTCTAGCATTAAAAGAGGGATAAATTTCACTTGTTTAGGAAATTCATTTATGTGGAATACCTCATTCCCCCAAAATGCGGATAAATGAGGTATTACCACATTTACATTTTTCAAATTTCTGCCAACATATTTTTCTCCTGTTTGTCTCATTTAATTTTTTAACTTTTTAATGGAAGTTGTGGTTAAAAAAATAATTATAGGAATGCTTCTGGATAAAATGAGTCATTACTCTTGTATGTGCCAACATGCTTCCAATAGTTTCCATGAATGTCACTTACAAAACAAATACTGTAAGTCAAACATAGTTAAATGATACTCAGCTCATCTAAGAACCTCATTTCTCCTACACTTTAACTTATGAGGGCCTTCAGGGATAATTTCTGAGGAAATATATCAATAAGAATTTAGACCAAATTTTCAGGAATAGATCCATAATTCCAGAAGTAGCTGACTTTTCCACAAGGGAAAGTGTAAATCAACATTTCATTATGAGCCATTAATTTGCAAACCACAAAAGTGTACTCCACTGTTAAATAAAATGTAACTTACTATTCAAGGATTTCACAGCACAATGAATTTTCTTGTCATCATTGCCCAACAAAGTCCCATGATATACACACCCAAAATGACCTACATGAAAGAGGGTACTTAGTTAGTGCTGCATTACTTTTAATTATGTAACAATTACTTACTAGGCACTTCACAATCTTCATTTCCTTTTTCGTACATGACAAAAAAGTACATTGTTTCATCTACTTTTGATTAACAATATCACTTGTGTGTGTGTGTGTGTGTGCTTGTGAGTGTAAGCTGGGATAAAAGTAGATTTACAGTTGTATGTATGGAAAATAATACAATAGTTAATAATGTAAGAATAAACTCTGTGTTTTATGTTCTCACAACTGTAAACCTACTTTTGCCTCATCCGTATATGTAGATGTAACACATTTTACCCAAAGATATAAGCAATGATTATTTACTACATGGTAAAAATTTAGATAATATAACTATTATTAAAAGGCTAATATAATATTCAATCATAGCGAAACTAGTGAAAACAGGAGTAACATGTATCTCATAAAAATTTTTATTATTTTTAAGGATCAAATAATACCTTTTAAATATAAAAATAAAGTTTTGCCTACATGACAAAATAAAGTAAAATAAGCTCCCTATATTCCAATAAACTGGAATGAAATAAAAATGTTACCATTAGAAATAAGATTAGCATTATAGAATAAGGATTTCCCCCATTAGTCACCAGTTAATATGTAATCCAGGTTGGCTGAAACTGAATGAAAATTACCCAAATGAAACAAATTCACTCTGAGTCATTTCATCCAGTTCTCTCTGATTTTAGCCACGTCACCTTCCCAATAGTAGCCTTTTATCCAGTGTCAGTAATTTTCCTCAGAGGTGCCAAACGTCTGATAGCTGTGTAAGTCATTCAATTCCTTAATTCATCTAGCCAGCCAAGACTCCCTGAATACCTAGTATGTGAGTGTCAGGCATTAGTCTACCCTCTTAAAATGCAAAGATGAAAAAGATAAACCTTATGATCTCAAGGGTTCACATTCTACTGGGGAAAAACATATAAATAATAGTTAATATTTATAGAATCATTAATGATTATTACTATACAAAAGAAATAACTGCCACTTTGCACCTTTTATGATAAAAATTAAAAAATTCTAATTTTATAATGCATACAATTAGAACATAATGAGGCTACATACTCAAACTGGTGCAATTACTGGAATTTATAGGTTGGTAACAGCACTATAAATTACTCTGATGTAAAACATGTTTATTAACAGAAAAGCTGCTACTAGGAAGGGGGAGCAGGAAAAAATCTGGAGTATGTGATAGAGGAATGTGTGGGTGCTATCACAGGAAAATGGGAAGGCTCCGTGTTCATATAAGGCAAATGGTCCTGTCAGCTTCTTTTGCATCATGCTGGCAGATGCCTGTGCTACCTCTTGCAGCACATACAGAATAAAAGGGATCAGAAACCATTCAGTATTACAGGTAAAAGCTTTTTAGGAAAAAAAGGTAAGAGTCAGAGTTCATTTCCTAGCTTCTGCTTGCTTTCTTTTCCTGATAAATATTTCCTTCAATATCTTGTGCTAGCTATTATTGCTGCTCTCTCTGGCTTATTACAAATATTCATTCCTTTCTGTATAAAGAAGTTTCGGATCAGGAGAATGCTATAAATTCCCCGTCTTCTGATGCTGCCCAGCAGCATACAAACTGTTATAAATGAGGACTTCATAAGGTTAGCCACTGTTCTCAGAGTAAAGAAAGACTGGAAGGAGATATGAGTAAAAATATTGGAACATAAAAGAATGATGTTTTAGATGAAAGTGGCATCTTTCAAGAAATTATAGTTAAATTATGAAAAAGGTGGGGAAGGAATATGATTTATTTCTAGTATATTTGGGAGATTATTAATTGCCTCCAGGGATAGGGGCAAGTCCTTATGGATATTATTTGCAGACCTGTTTTTCTGCATAACAGAAATCAAGCGCACTTGTTATCACTGCCCTGTCAGTTGCTTTCACCATTGTCTAAATTCCTAATCTGCAAAGGCAGAAGATAAAATGCTTACTGGAAAATCGCATTTAACAAAAAGCTGAGTGGAAATACTTACCTCTTCCTATGACTTCATTGAAGTGCACAATCAGGCTACTAGGCCCAATCACTACATGCTGGACTGCCTGAACCAGCTCTGGATTTAGAGCACTGAGGTCAATGTGGACTGTATTTTGCAGTAATGGACTGGATATATCAGAGTCCCCACCAGTTAGGATGGGGGATAGATCCATCAGAGGATACTGCACTTGTCTGCATGATCCGTTCTGAGATGAGTTAGGAAACTGGTCTGCAAGATAAAGTAAAATTATTAGAAAACGACAGCAAAACCTCACTTAGTGGGGACTGCAACAGGGGTAACAAGTTGAATTAATAATGAAGCCTGAATTTTGAAATTAAAGAAATGATACTTTTATCATTGAATGAGGCTGGGAATAGTCTTTACAAAGGAACTGGTTTAATACAAATGGTAAACTGGGAAAAGATGCTGGCTTGCACACACACAGGGGTGGGCAAAAGTAGGTTGACAGTGCCATTGTGACATTCTGAGTTAAAAAGCTATTGTAATAATCATAACCTGCATGCATGTTCTTTTATATATGAACAGCTGTAAACTTACTTTTGTCCACCCGTGTGTGTTTTAAAATTTTTAAATAAATTTTCTTTTAAGTAGACTAACCATTAACTTTGACATCTTGTTTATTCTCTTCATTTCCTTAGACATTTCTCTTTTTATATATAACAAAAAGCCCTGTTTGATGTTTATTTTTAATATACTATATTCTTAAAAATGGGGAGCTGCACAAATAGTATGCCTTTTGAGAGACTAGTGTTTATTGACAGAAATAATTAGAATTGTTTAAAACCTACATGGATTCTAGGCCAAGGAAAAAAAAATATAGTGAAATATTTTGCATATATATGTTTAAAAGCATATAATGGATATATTTTCAGAACTGAAGCTTTTTAATTAGTGGTAAATTCTCCATTTGTGATGATGGCAGCAGATTTAGTATCATCGCTATTTAGAGAAGGTTGATTAGAACTGGATTAGTGTGTCATTCCCATAGCTTAGCTGAGGGCACTTGGAATGGAATCAACATTCCTTATAATTTGATCTTTACAACCAAAGCCCTTAGAGACTCAGGCAAGGTATTCTATTTCAAGGTGAAGTTTTCCATTTCAGCAGTAAGGAATTGTGAGGTTGAGAATAAATTTCTTAAGCCAAATAGGGCAGAGAAGCCACCAGTTGCCTTCCCTTTTCCACTGGGAATTCATACATGTCAGGGAGAGGGCACTGCATCCACAGCAACATATCTGAAGATAACCTAAGCAGGGTATTGAACTGTATTAGTATATAACATAAGGAAAAAGGGAGGGTATTGTAAGGGGGGTTTCCATTGGTAACAAAAATATCATTTGTTTGCAAATGAGCAGGAAAATCAGAACTTGAGAGTAGGACATAAAAAGAAAGTTGATAGTACCCTGACTATTCCTAACCCCACTTAAGCATTTTTTAGTATTTTCCACATTGAACAGTTTGGTTAATAACAAAGCAATTTGACCAGAGCAGTAATAAATCTCAACAGTGGTTCCAGGAAAGCTTCGGAGCCACCTATAGTTTCAATAATCACTGTCTGGAAATGAGACAGATAATGATTACCTAAAGGACAAATTTAGAACATCAGGGGAGTACTGAAATGCTGGATGGGTGAGAGAAAAAGAGGGCCTAGCTGGCTGCCTGTTCCTTTGATCCCAGGGTCAAGTTCCCGAAACCCTCTATAAGAGAGAAGAATGCAAAGGAGCCTCTCCAAGCTCTCAGTTCCTTCACCTTCACTTCCCAAACCTTTGCACCTAGAGATCAGGGTTCTAAATTCTCAGGGTTGTGGAGATTGAGGGAAATCCTTGGTGAAACACAAGAAAAAAGTCCCCTAGCATGGAAACTCTATTGACCCTCCAGTTAAGTTCAAACATGTGAACAAACCATTTAAACCATTAATGTGTGATTCTGGTGTAACACCGCAGAGAATTCTAGCTCTGCATGAAAGACTGATGAAGAGGCTGTCCCTCTTCATATATATAGAGAAAAGCTTGAGAGCTGCCTCTTCATTAGTTGCCGGCTATGTATTTTCTTTTTCTCTCTACATGACCTTCTTTTGTCTATTTTACTTTTCCATGTTTCCAAGGAGTAGGTTCAATATAGGAAAGAAGATGGAACTCAAGCTTCTAAGCAATTATAATAGAGGTTTGGTGAGTAATGAAGTTGAAAGAAGATTAAGCAAGCTTTTTTTTTTTTTTAAAGTTACTTGTGAATTTTAATGATCTTAGATTAAAGCTATAAAAGCTCTAAATTTCAACTGTAAACTGGATTTGATTTGTCCATGTTGTTAAGTGCATGGATTAAAAAAATATTTTTTTTAAATTTATTTTTACAGAGAGAGGGAGGGAGAGAGAGAGAAACACTGATGTGAGCGTGTAACATTGATCAGCTGCCTCCTGCATGTGCCCTGACTGGGAATTGAACTGGCAACAGCCAAGTGCATGGGAAGATGCCCAACCGAGCCACATTGGCCAGGGCAGGGCATGAATTTTTTAAAGGCAAATGGAGTCAGATGGGCAAAGACAATACTTCTGTGTATCTCTATAGAACTAATATAAACTTCAAAATAGACAGTGTTAAAAAAATTAAAATGTTAACTGCCTCACTGCTCTTATACTTTGTTTGGAGGAGCAACTAGGTAAGTCTTCCTGTATCCTCAGCTGCCTGTGACTCATTTTATTTGTCCAATGGTAAATATTCAACGAGGGAAATCCTTGTATTTTACTCACAACCTGTAACTTGTACAGATAATGAAGCAGATACAATACAGACATTTTGCTTTTACCAGGAGATTTTAAATAAAACAATGTGAAATGTGCTGGTTAACCTAACCATTATTAAGCTCAATGTTTTGCAAAGCAAATGATGCTAACCCCTCCTTTTTAAACAGCATAAATGAAGGATTTTATTGGATAAGACTAAAAATATACTGAAGTCCTGGAATGCTGTGGGTAAAAGGCTGTGTACTAACAGTTCATTAAGAATCTTCAAAGGAGTACTAAAGGTGTAATTTAAATGTTTGAGGAGCAACATTTTGAGGTAAAAAAAGGTAGCAATGCCAACTTATATTTAAATAAATATAAAAAACAAATAAATATGAAATTTGTATCTTATCTTTTTTTGGGTTGTTAAAGAGCACTTCACAATTTCTTAACATTGCCCTGAGATGATAAGTAGCTTACCTTTGCTCAAATGATTTTAAAATTAATCTTTTTGTGGTAAAGGGATTAAGAAGTACAAATTGGAAGTTATAAAAACAGTCCCGGGATGCAAACTACAGCATAGGCGATATAGTCAATAATATTGTAGCCCAGCTGGGCATGGCTCAGCGGTTGAGCATCAACCTAGGATCCAGAAGATCGTGGTTCGATTCCCAGTCAGTGCACATGGCTGGGTTGCGGGCTCGATCCCCAGTTGGGGGCGTGCAGGAGGCAGCCGATCAATGACTCTCTCTCATCATTGATGTTTCTGTCTCACTCTCTCCCTCTCCCTTCCTCTCTCTGAAATCAATAAAGACATATTTTAAAAAAAATAATATTGTAATAACTATATGGAGTCAGGTGAGAGTATAAGACTTATTGGGAGGATCACTTCATAAATTATATAAATATCTAACCACTATGCTGTACACCTAAAACTAATAATAATACTGAATGTCAACTGTAATTGAAATATAAAGATTAACCTTTTTGTGAGAAAAGAACTTAAATACTCTAAAAATCTAATATAACGTATAAATGAGTTGATTTAAAAATAAGAGCCCAGTAATTCTGTGTCAAATTAAATACTTCCTTGGTGAAAGAAGAGGTAAATACTTCTTTTATATTTTTATAAAAATATAAAGGCAAAACAAAAAATAAACAACAATGCCACAAACCACTGAGGTATATGTATAGGTATTTCTCAGAATATAAACTGAAATATACCTTCTGGAAAAGTAGCTCGGTAGTCTACAGATTCATTTGAAACCATTTCTGTAGTTGGGCTTACACTTCGGGCACTTACAAGCCTATCCAAATGAGGAGTGTGTACTCTTGCGTCATAGCGAACTAATTCACTGCCCAGATCTTAAAACAGAGAGAGAGAGAGAAAGAGATTGTTAAAGACTTGACTATCATGGGTCCCAGCAGACCATGACAAGAATTCATGGGTTTTATAGATTGCATGTATAACAGTGCACATGAATTTACAATTTTAAACTGTAATGACTTCATTCTCAAGGTAACTCCTTAAAATAAATAATTAAAAAATGTACCTTTAATTTGCTTTCTCCTTTTCAGCCACAGATAAAGCCCGAGTAATAATAAGAGTATTATTGATATTGTAACAACACCAACAATCAATCCTGTGAAATTCTGATCTGGTTGAACTATCACTTTTCCAAGGACAGTTGAAGAAACTGCTTGCTTCCACTAAAAATGACAAAGGAAAGCCAGAATTTAGCTGGCTATTTTAGATAGGTATAAAATATACTACACAGGTTGAATCACAGTCTCTATGGGCCTGAGATACCACCTGGTTATTACTCTTCTATAAATGATATGATTGCCTATAGAGTAATAAGACATTTCTCAATTCTGCTTCAGTGTTTTAATAAGTAGGGGCTAATGATCTCTGAAGCACTTACATGATATTTAGCTGTTTGTACTTGTAACTATGTATTAGGGATAACAAATAAATAAAAAGAGTCTTTGATCTCGAGGAACTGAGGTATAAAAGGGAGATAAACACATAAATAGATGATTATAATACAACGTAATATGTCCCACATATGTATAAATAAACAGTAAGAAAAAGAGACAATAGGATATTAATTCTGTCCTACAGGATGGGGTAGAGGGCAAAGGAGACTTACCATAAGAAGTAAATAATCATTATTATGGCATAATAAAGTCATGTTTGATTAATCCTCAAGTGAGGATATTTTTTCCATTGCTTTATCAGAGAGAGTAAAAGGGAAGGCGGGAGGTGGGGAGAGAGAGAGAGATAAACATAGATGTGAGAGAGACACATCAACTGGTTGCCTCCCACGCCCGCCTGGACTAGGGGCAGGGAGAAGACCCACAACTGAGGTATGTGCCCTTGACCGGGAATTGAATCCTTGACCCTTTGGTGCCCAAGACGACGCTCTAACCACTGAGCTACATCAGCCAGGGCAGCCTTAAAATATTTTAATATCAGTTTTGATACATAGAGGAAATATTTGAGGTCCCTTCCATGGTATAATTTTCAGGATTTATGGTCCTTCTAAATTCTAAACTGATCTCATAATTCAGCCTTAATTTTCTAATTTATTTTGATTTCCATTTCATAACTTTTTAGAAGATTTCAGGAATCCTTTAAAAAGCACTCATTCTTGGATAAACAAAATATGATATATCTATACAATGGAATATTCAGCCTGGTATATCTATACCATGGAATATTCAGCCTTAAAAAGTAATGAAGTTCTGACACATACTATAATATGAATAAACCTTAAAAACATGCTAATAAAATAAGCCAGACACAAAAGGGCAAATATTGTATGATTTCACTTATATGAACTATGTAGAATAGGCAAATTCATACTAGGGGCTGTGGAAGAGGAGGGAATGTGATGGTACTGCTTATTGGTTCCAGAGCTCTGTTTGGGGTGATAAAAGAAGTTTTAGAATTAGATAGTGGTAATGGTTGCATGCACAATATTGTGCATGTAATTAATGCCACTAAATTGCACACTAAAAATGGTTAAAATGGCAAAAATTGTTATATATATTTTACCACAAGTTAAAAATATTAATAATGTAATATACCCCAAACCACTTTAAATGTGTGAACTGTATGGTATGTGAAGTTTCTTGGTGAGTTAACCTCAATAAAGCTCACTAAGAAAAAAAGGAATGCAAAAAAAAAATCACTCACTCTGGATCCAGGTTATTAATTTAGCTGTCTATATGAAGAAGTTACTGTAAAATAGCTTAATTTCTATTTTATTTTGTCCAGTGCATACATACATATTTTTTTTGCTTATGAGGTCCATGCATTTGAGATCACTGTGGAAGGCTCCTAGGGTGGCCAGAGGTAGGAGAAGGGGCAATCTTGGATATGTCCTTATTTCTAGAGCAGATTTTGGCAAGAGCATGGCAATGCAGAGGTAGTGTGGCTGGGAAGGACTTTTGAGATCTACCCTCTCAAGCCTGGGAAGGTGACAGTGCAACAAAAACCTCACTATTTCTAAAATAACAACCAAGAATCAAGGCTGAGCTGATGAGCCAAAGCCAACACACAAACGAGTTTAATGATTTACTTTAAGCCTGCAAGTGACATAATTACACTAGCATCTTTATTTACATCATGAGAGGAATGCAAGAATCCCACCTCTATATTTAGCTCGCTGTTCAATTTCAGCAGGTCACTGGGGACCTTACATAAAACAGTTTCAGAATGTGAGTATATATTCTCACAGCTCTTATTTCCAACTTTTAACACTTCACCTTTAATTGCTTCAGGGTCAATGTCATTTCCCTGGAAGAAAAAAAAAAGGTTGTTAACACTTCACAGTTTTGCAGGAATACTAGCAATTGTAAAGGAATATAAATATACTGCAAACACAGGCCCTGTTGTTTGCCAAGGCACATGATACTCAGTTTATGATATTCATTTTCATGGGAATTTGGATGGCTGAAAGAAAGCATGACCATTTCAGGCACTAATTAGTCTGGAATCACAGCATATAGCTTTCTGTCAAATTGGATTTTAGAGAAAAAGGAAGAGAATTTTGGTTCACATCCTTACATTGAATGACCTCTTAGCCATAATCACCTTATTAATGCTTTCAGATGGTATTGATGGCTGGCAAAAAAAGAAGCAATTTAGAGATTTAATTGTGCTGCCTAACGCTGCCTAATGTAGTGAAACTCGGCTTTGGCTTCACTTTTAGAATCACAGTGATTGTTTTATAAAATACTGATGCATCTAGGGATTCTGATTTAATCATCTATGTTAATATATTCCTTTTGTACTTGATTTGGGCAGTTTCTTTTCATCCTTGAACAGTTAAATCCTATACATAAATGAATTTATTTTTAAAGAAATTCCTGTAAGATGTTATGTGATCCTCATTATGATTTGAGAGCATGGTTACATTATTTTGAACAATTATATGAGGATTTAAAAAATTACTCAATTTAATATAGTTAACTGAAGTTACCATTATGAAATATTAATGTTTTGTTGAAGAAACCAATCATTAGCATGCAAAAGAAGTGAAAACAGGGACAATCTCTCATATGACAATTAATGAGTACAGTTATTTATTAAAAAACCATTATTTGGAGAAAAGATACATCAAAACATATTGAGATTTTTCTTATGGACAAAGAGCAGCCAGTCATAACTGCAGCACTGCTATTCTGTTTTGTATGATCTTTAATACTTAGCATACTGCTTTTACATACATTGTCTCATACGGATCTTAATAGATTGGTAGGTCAGATATTATTTTGGGAAAATAAGTTTGAAGAAAATACTTCTTTCTAACATGAATCTGGAGTTTCAGAAAAAAATAGAGATAAACAAACTATATCTTTATAATATTTCTAGTGGCAGTATGTGTACCCCATTGAACCAGGTCAGCCACACAGGGCAATTGAATATAAAAGCACATAAATGTAATAAGTCACTGTGGGGCTTTAAATGACAACTTGTTGGTTAGGCCTGAGGAGGGCGAAGGCACTCACATATTGGAGGGACTTCATGGAATGATAAAGAAAAAAGATTAAAGAGCTGGAGGCCTTGATTTTGAGAGAATGACTAAAATGTGTCTTGCTTGCTTAGATAATAACAAAAGCTGGGGGAAGGGAAACATACTGCATTTACATTTCTAATACTCCTTTTAGGCTCAGGATCTCCTTGGATGTTGCATAAAAGGCTTCTCTAAAACAAAAACAGATCACAAGTCATACAACTGAATCCCTTTTCATTTGTGCCTACTAAGGAACACATGATAAGCAGTGACTTACATTAAGAAATTACCCTTAGCTTTATATGTTCAGTAATTACCTTAAAAGTCTACAACCTAATATATCACAAAAGTGATACTGGCAGCCCACTACTATACAACAGAGGGGCCTGAGTCAGAAAAAATAGAAATAGATATAAACTACTTTTTTGTTATTGATTCTTACAGGAGGGTATTTTTTCCATTGAAATTTTGAGAGAGAGGGAGGAAAAGAGGGAGAGAGAGAGAGAAACATCGACATGAGAGAGACATATTGATTGGTTGCCTCCCGCACGAGACTGGGGTTGGGAATGCAACCAAGGTATGAGGTACGTGCACTTGACTGGGAATCAAGCCTGAGATCCCTCAGTCTGTGGGTCAACGCTCTAACCACTGAACAAAACCATCAGGGCTAGGCTACTTTTTATCATTTAAAATAAACATAGCTTTATGGAGCTGTGGGGAAAGGTATATGTTTAGAACTTTTATTATTTACTTTTTCATTATTTAATATTAAGTATTATTAAATAGAAGAACATATTTACAAAATTGTTTCAGTTTTTCAGTCACTGAAATGGCAATATATGAGTTTTTAAATAAAGCAATATAGAAGAAACTTTCTGGTCTTTAATCCCCTACACATATAGCAATTTAGAAGTATAATTATCTCATTTTATCCTGTAAAGACATCTTCCTGAGGTAGCTATTATTGTTATTCCTACTTTATACATTGAGAAATAAAGTTCAATAAAGGACTTGGTCATGAAGCAAATAAAATTCCATTTGATACAATATCTTCTTACCATCCATTGTGTGTTAGACACATTCTTTTTACTGAGACTATAAAGATGAGTAAGAGTTTCTTCCTCTTACTGTAATGTTAAAATGAATACCTTTCTAAAGTGAAAACCAATTACTCCCAATATGTAATATCAGGATGTTCCTTGTTCTCTTTCCTCTCCAACTCTGGCCAGGTGTGACATGTTTCTATCTAGAATTCAAGCCCGGGGACCCATGCCTGAACTGGTTACAGAATAGAACAGATGGGAGTGGAATTGGGTAGGATTTGAAAAATAGCATTATAACAGAAGGGGTCTTACAAGTTTTCATACATCATGGTAGCCACAAGATTGAGACTGGGAAAGTAAGCTAAGGCAGTGAGGTGCAGGTTGGTAGCCGGACTCAGCCAGGCAACAGCCCAGGGAAGTTGGCAGCAGAAAACTATTGAATTGGTGGTAGTGGTTGGAGGGGAGATTTATACTTTATCCAGAGGATATGTATCCCTCAGCTTAGGAATCAGGTCGAAGAACCCTCACAGAAAGCTTCAAAACTGAGTTCAAAGAATGTTAATAGGTATATGGGCAGAAAGTGCCCAGGTCATTTGAGAAAAGCTTGGTGAGCCAAAATTAAACTGGTTTCTTCACAGGTGCTGTGAGAGTGTATATGTGTGTGTATACAGAATGAATATTAATGTGTGCAGTACAGAAAATACTAGTTTATGAGTACCATCAGTAAGAATAGTTCTTGATACTGGGACAGATGACCCCTAAGAAAAGAGCCCTTCATCACCATCCTGTCTGGAGCTAGAACTGGCATCACAGTGGTTGTGGTTGGGATTGGGCCTATAGTTGCAGGTCAAATCATCAGGAGGAGAAAGAAGACAATCTTTGGCTGGCTCTGTGGGGCTGGTAGACTAGATTAGCTCAGACCTATGCCCCCTTCTAGATTCTTCTGATGCCCAGACACAAAGGCTTCTTCTTGACCCCCTAACCTTTGTTCTTGTGCTTGCAATATAGCCCAAGTTCCTGCTCCCTGACTTAGCTCATCTTCCTGCCTTCTTTTTCCTATTTTAGCTGACTTCAGATTGGACTTCTGAAGCATCTCTATAACCATATATACAATATACTCCCAAACAAGATAAACTCCCAGGACAGAGTCAGAAGTAATTACTGTACTTCTCTAGTTCCATAAAATATGCTCATACACAAAATGTGATATAATAAGATTTTATTTTTAGGTATTTGTAAGGAGTTTGGAGCTATTTCACTTAGAGAACTGTATAGATATCTACATATCATATGACAGAAAAGCCTATTATAAAAGGTATTTTGCTTTAAACCAAATAAAAGTTAATATGAAAAGCATTGTTATATAGTGGAAAGAAGACCAATTTTGGAGTATAAGCCCTAGTTCTGCTGTTTGCCCCTATAGGTGACCCAAGACAAATCATTGAATCTTTTAAAACCTCTCTTTACTTATCTGTAAATGGGGATAATCATCGCTGACTTCCCAGATGAAATAATATATGTTAAAGTACTGTGTTAATTAAAATGACATACAGAGGTGAGTTGCCTTTGACATAAACACTGTGCCCTAATGTGTCCTCCCAAAGAGACATCTACTTGTAATGACCACTGTCCAGCATTGGTGCTGGTTGACTGAAGCCTTGCTCATAGACCTCCCATATTGAGGGGGTTTCTGATTTGTTTTACGGAATGACTGACCCTTGGCCTCTATTACATTCTCTGGATCCAAACTTGGTTGACCCTCTTCACCATGGTGTAGTCATTGGGCCAACTGCTGACTGAGGCAGTTCTCATAACTGGGCTGGAAAGTATCATAATCTCTTTTAGCCAAGGAATTCTTATATGCATGGCTGCTTAAGGACCATGAACACTTCCTGGCTATAAAAAGGAGTAAATCTCACTCTAAACACATGATTCTCCCCATAGTGCTTTCACTGATGGAATACAAACACACTTTACACTTATGTTTTGAATGGTAATTGAACAAGCACAACATTCAATAAAATGGTATCCTTTCTTTTGATAAAAACAATCCACTGCTTGTCCAGAAGAGGCCTTAAGAGAGGCAGAGATTTTAATATGATCAACTTTAGAGATTGATAAAGGGTTAAATTGCCATCACACAAATATTCTCTTATACCTTAGATTTCCTCTTATACGTAAGGAAAATGAAGTATGGGAAATACTCAATTATGATACCAAAACAGTCCCCCTAAACTGGTCCCTTTCCCCCCAGATTGCCACTTTGTGACATGACAGGGGCTATACACTTGTTAGAGAAAATAATCATTCTATATAGAAACAAAAGAAGGAAGTGGTCTGTGCCTGTTTCCAGAGACTGTTTGGGGCCATGTTAGGAATAACACTGAAAGGCTGAAAATGATGTCAAGTCATATTTTTCTTGGTCCAACAATTTTGTAGGACATTGAAAAATGGGTATTTAATTTACAGAAAAAGAAGTTTTTTCCATATAAGACTGTGCTTGGAAGGTAGATAAAGAACCATTTATTTCTAATCCTTCCATCATAGATACAGGAGTAGAAAAATAGTGTTTATCTGGGAATAAAAATATTTGCAAATAAACTTTTGTCTTCATCAAGAAAAACCAAATGGAATCTTTCAAATGACAAACACAGTAATTTTTGATAGCAAAAGGCCACACTAGATTAGTTTTATTGAAAAAGAAAGAAGAGATAAAAGCTTTTTCTCCCTTTATAAAACTAATTAAAGAAGCAGGTGAAAGAACTTTGCTGTGGTAGACATGTCATTCATTGAAGCAGGCCTCCATTTAATTCCATTCTGGGCTTGCTTAATTATTGTACAAAACACAATGGCAAGGTTAGTAAACTTGTATGAGTATGTACATGTGCATGGGTTTGGCTGGAGATAAAATCTTGTCAAAAAAGAAGAAAAATTTCAGTAGAAATGTATATTTACTTAGATGAAGGTGATCTATGAGAACTTACATTACACCTAAACAGAGACTATCCTATTCTATTACTTTGTGTTTGTTCATATTTGCATCCAGGCTATCTTTTAGGGAAAATATTATGATTTGTCTAAAAACAACATGTTGAGCCTGGCTGATGTGGCTCAGTTGGGTGAGAGTCATCCTATGCACCAGGTCGCCAGTTCAATTCCCTGTCAGGGCACATGCCCGGCTTGTGGGCTTGTTCCCCAGTGGGGGGCATGCAGGAGGCGGCCGATTGATGTTTCTCTCTCATAGATGTTTCTATCTCTCTCTCTCCCTCTCCTTTCCTCTCTCTGAAATCAATAAAAACATATTGAAATACATATATATATATTGAAAAAACATGTTAAAAACAACATGTTGAAGGATAAATATTTTGTTGTTTCTAGTGAAAGGCTATAGGTAATTAAAGTATTGATCATTTTGCCTGTTTTATTACTATTTGAAGTAAAAACAAATGAAGTGACACAAGAGAGCTGTATTCTGGTCACTATTTCATCACTTGTCAAATCACTTGCCCTCTCTGGGCTTTAGTATTCTTTGTTTGCAAGATGCTGGTTAGAAAAGATGATATGTTTTCTCCAATTAAATTATAGTTAGATCCCTGTCCAATTTGGCTCAGAGTCAGCTGGTGGACTGAAGGGTCTTGGGTCTGATTCTGGTCAAGGGCACATACCTCGGTTGCAGGCTCAATCCCCAGCCCTGGTTGGAGTGTGTGAGGGAGGCAACCAATCAATGTGTCTCTTTCTCTCTCTCCCTTCTACTCTCTCTGAAAAGCAATGGAAAAAATATCCTTGGGTGAGGATAAAAAACAAATAACAAAAAAAATTATAGTTAGAGGCTAGTATATTCCTAAGGTAGAGAAAACCCAGCTCCATTTATAATTCAGCTTAGAGATGGCTCTATCCAGACACAAATTTCCAAGTATTTCAAGGAAGTACAGAACTACAATTGATGCATTTACTTTCATGGCTCTTACCTTTTATCTTCTAATGAGCTCATTTCGGTATCCAGGAAAATACATACATAACACTGACAGGATAATGCATCATAGGCAGCCTATTTAATGGATTTGTGTCCCACATTTGCTACTTTTAAATATATATACAAAAAAGAGTTGTTAAATGCTTCATTAAACAGCAGTCCAGGATTATACTTACCTTTTAGTCCTATGCCAAAAAAATGTGTTTTTCAGAGCTTAGATATTTGCTGATAATGATAAGATAATGTCCAAACAAATATAACAATTCTACTCATATAGCTATGAAGTCAATTAAGTGTTAATTGATGATTTAAGAGGGCATTTTAAGCATTTCTTACCTTAATTTCTAGTACATTTTCATCACCTATTGATATCATCACTGGCTTTTCAAAAGGCTTAAAGACAGGATTATGTACATAAACGAGATAGAAGTATTTGGAATGAATCCCATCTAACATGAAAAAGGCTTTAGTTTTCAGGGGGAGTTGCAGATTCAGGTGTTGTAGTGACGGAGTTGTACAGCAGATTATCTCTGAATTAGAACGATGTTGACATGCCTATAAGAAGACACAATTACCCACTGTGAGCAGACTATGGCTTGACAACATCAATAGCAACTTTCACATTTCACTGTTTCAGACAATCAATTGAAAGATATAATTTTTGGAGTGTCTGGTCAAGGTGGTGGTGTAGGTAAATGCAGCACTTGTCTCCTCCCACAAACACATCAAAACTACAACTAAACTATAGAATCATTATTCAGAATTGCCTGAAATATGGCTGAATGGAAGTTTTACAACTAGGGAATTAAGCCACATCAAGACTAGTAGGAGGGGTGGAGATGCAGAACAGGCTGGTCCTACACCTATGTGTGGCAGATAAAATTGGGAGGGATACCTCAGCTGCGGAGGACCCCCTGCGGAATGAGGGGTCCCATTCCAACACCAGCCCCCCCATCCCAGGGTTCCAGTGGCAGGAAGAGAAGTCCCATAAATTCTGGCTGTGAAAACCAGAAGAGTTGGTGGCTGAGGCAGACAGAAGGCTGCTGGAGTCCAGGCAGTTCTTCTTAAAGGGCCTGCATGGGGACTTACTCAGACTTACTTGTTTTGAGCTCCAATGCTGGGGCAGTAGTTCAAAAGGTATCAGGAACATATGGGGAGGAACTGAATTGTCAGGTATCAGGGTGAGAGCTGGGGGTGGGCAGGGGGTGCAATTTTCTCCCAGACAGAAGTGCTGGCATAGGCCGTTATTCTTTTGATGAGCCCTCCCTCAAAGAGCTGGCAGGGGGCACCATATCTAAGATTCCATCAACATGGCTCACACAGTTTGCCCTGCCCTGGTGATTCCATGAGGCCCTGCCCCACCCAATGTTCAGGCCCACGGAATCAGTTTCTAGTGGCTTTTCCATATGAATGGCCTGTCTTAGCTCATACTTCAGTTTTTCCTGAAATCTCTCAAACAAGCAACATTTGGCCTCAGCGTGCCCCATACCTCTCAATAAGTGGTCTTAGGCCTGGCACTAGCAGCAGTTGGCCTCGATTCACAGCTTAGACTTACCTGGGCACCTCCAAGCCCAGTACAAGTAGCAGCTGTTTGCAGATAGCTGTGTTGTTCATGCGGGGTGGCCCCTGGCAGATCACAGGTGGCAGCTGATTTTTGGCGGGTACCTCCAAGGAGTCCCCAGAGCAAGTGCACCTGGCGGACAGCTTCAGACCAGGTTGAAGCCTCACTACCCAACCACCTCCACAAGCAACACACTCAAGGAGCAGACTCAGTAGGCACCAGAGCGCTGCTGAAGTAAGTCCTACTCTGTGGGGTCAGCCCCTGCACAGCTGATCCTCCACCATGGTTGGAGGTCAGTGGTTGCAGCCTGTGGGTAAATCACTCCCATTGACATGCCAACAGCCATCAAGGCTCAACTACAAAAGGAGTGTGTACACAGACCACATGGGGGGTGCACCTTGAGTGCCCAGCTTGGGGGATTGGGGAAGCTGTACCACAGGACCCCATAGAACACCTGCTACATTAGGCCACTCTACCGAGCCTAGGAGATGTAGCAGCTCTACCTAATACATAGAAACAAAGACAGGAGGCTGCCAAAATAAGGAGACAAAGAAATACATCCCAAATGAAAGAACAGAACAAGAAGCCAGGAAAAGAAAAAACCTAAACAAAATGGAGACAAGCAATCTACTAGATGCAGAGTTCAAAACACTGGTTATAAGGATGCTCAATGAACTTAGTGAGAACCTCAACAGCATAAAAGAAGACCACTGAGAAGTGAAGCATATAATAGCTGAAATGAAGAATGATTTACAGGGAATCAACAGTAGAATATATGAAACTGAGAATCAAATCAGAGATTTAGAATATAAGGAAGCAAAAAACACCCAGTCAGAACAGCAAAAAGAAAAAAAGAATCCAAAATAATGAGGACAGTGTAAGGAGTCTCTGGGACAACTTTAAGTGTACCAACATCCGCATCATGGGGATGCCAGAAGAAGAGAGAGGGCAAGAAATTGAAAACCTATTTGAAAAAATAATGACAGAAAACATCCCTAACCTGGTGAGGGAAATATACACAAGCCCAGGAAGCACAGAGAGTCCCAAACAAGATAAACCCAAAGAGGCTCACACCAAAACACATCATAATTAAAATGCCAAAGGTTAAAGACAAAGATAGAATCTTTTTAAAAAAAATTAAAAAAATATTTTTATTGATTTCAGAGAGAGATGAAGGGAGAGGGAGAGAGAGATAGAAACATCAATGATGAGTCATTGATCAGCTGCCTGCTCTACACCCTCGCTGGGGATAGAGCCCAAAACCCGGGCATGTGTCCTGACCAGGAATCAAACCTCGATTTCCTGGATCATTGGCTCAACTGCTGAGCCATGTCAGCCAGGCCAAAGAGAGAATCTTAAAAGCAGTAATAGAAAAGAAGTTAGTAAACTACAAGGGAGCTCCCATAAGACTGTCAGCTGATTTCTTAAGAGAAACTTTGCAGGCCAGGAATTGGCAAGAAATATTCAAAGTGATTAAAAGCAAGGACCTACAACCACGATTGCTCTATCCAGCAAAGTTATCATTTAGACTCAAAGCATAGATAAAGAGCTTCCCAGACAAAAAAAGCTAAAGGAGTTCATTACCACCAAACCAGTATTATAGGAAATGTTAAAAGGTCTTTTTAAGAAGAAGGAAAAAAGATAAAAAATATGAACAATACATATATATCTATCAACAATTGAATCTAAAAACAAAATAAACAAACAAGCATAACAGAAACAGACTCAGATACAGAGAACATTTTGATGGTTGCCAGATGGGTGGGGGGTTGGAGGATGGGTAAAAAAGGTGAAGGGATTAGAAGAACAAATTGGTTGTTACAGAATAGTAATGGGGATGTAAAATACAGCATAGGGAAGATAGTCAATAATCTACTACTAAGTATGTATGGTGTCACATGGGTTTGAGATTATCAGATATTCACTTAGTAAGTTAGTAATCACTGGGATAGTACACCTTAAACTAATATACAGTAATAATGTATGTCAACTCTAATTGAAAAATAAAACAGTAATTAAAAAAAGAAAGATGTAATTTTTGAAAAAATCAGCATTTAACTTTGTAATGTTGAAGAACACATTTCTGGAAACACAATAGATGCAAAGTTATGTAAACAATGTAGTGTTCAAAGAAACAGAGCTTTACTTCCTCAGAATAAACCATGTTGATCTACCTGAAGCTGGCTCACCCTCCATCACTTTATTTTTCTTAAGAAGATAGTCTCCTGGAAGGACTGCTTTCTTGTTTATAAAACAGCTATGACAGAGTGGGAGTTGAACTTTGTGCAAATAGAAGTCCTTATTCATATCCTAGCTTTAAATCAAGCTGTGAGAATCAGGGCAAAATTCTTACTTGGAAACTCAGTTTCCTCAGTTAGGAAGTAAGATTAAAATGTCACTAACAATGTGCAGTACTACATGGTCAAGCACTTTGTCAACTGCCAAGCACCATATGGTTCACATTATAATTAACTATGGTAGTTAGATCATTTTACTAGTGTGTTAAAAGATATCAATTACTGAGTGCCAGGTTCTGTGTAATTCAAGGTTGGTCTCATTTAATTCTCACAATAATCCTATGAGGTAGGTGCTCTGATCACCTCATTTTACTGATGAAGAAACAACTTTTTAAGCTTACATCATTAGACCAGGTCATGCAGTTTTGAGTGGCAGAGTAGGAATATAAATCCTAGGCCACTGGGCTCAAAAATTCACTGTCTTAACTTCCATGCTATCATACTGCTTCTTGCTCACTCTACAGTCTATGTTGGTAAATCTTTTCCTATGCTCTCTATTTCACACATGCTTTGCTAATATTATTCCATGCCCTTTCATCTCTCATTTCAAATTTTCTCCTTTGGAATTCTGATTTATAAAGGTTTGGAAAATGTAGTTTCCTCTTGATTGTGCTTAGACTAAATCAGTAACACAAAGTGGCACATTTAAGGTTAAATGGTTGTGGTCCTGGCCAGGTGGCTCACTTGGTTAGAGCACTGTCCAGATATGCCAGGGTTGTGGGTTCGGTCCTGGTCAGTGCACATACAGGAAGCAAATGGTGAATGCGTAAATAAGTGGAACAACAAATCAATGTTTCTCTCTCTCTCTCTCCCCTCCCTTCTTCTCTCTCTCTCTAAAATCAATAAATAAATATTTTAAAAAGGTAAAATGGTTGTGTTTTCCCTCTGCCCTCAAGGAAAAGACAAACAAGCAATAACATCCCTTAGATTTCCTTTTCTTTGACAAGTAGAGTTGGAGATAAAACACTTACTTACACCTGCAATAGAAAAGGGACTCAGGATATACATAAAAAGCACAAACAAAATTGGGTTTTGATATTTTCTTTTAAAAATAATTTTAAAAAATTATCCTACACTTAAAGTGTATACTATAAGTAGATAAAGAAAACTGATACATAAATATAAATAAAATCATTTACTTTTATATCAAATTTGTATTATAATGCTGAAAGCAATTTATTCTTATCATCCTGAAAACAGAAATGAACAATTTTACTGCTATCACAATAATTCTCTATATAATGAGAAATTTGAAAACTATACAATAAACTGCTGGCTTTTGAGACATAATGTACATAAACAAATTCATACACATTTTGTTGAGAAGGTGATTAGTATTTTTATTTTTAAAGATTTGAGTTTATTGAACTTAAAATTATTGTGGCTGGATCAATATATCTAAATCAGACCTAACCAAACATTTTTATTTGTTAAATAATGAGTGGGTTCAATCAATCACGGTCAGCTTCAAATTCTACAAGCAGCAGGGAACATGGAAGGAATATGTCTCTTTATGAAGTAGTTTTCATAAACAATAGTCAAATAGACTCACTGAATTTTTAATTCTTGTCCAATTCTAATGTATAGTTCTACTGTACTAGCAATATGTTTGTGGCTAAAACAATTGAAGTTCATATATCCAGAGATGTAAACAGATAGAATTTTTATCTTCTACCATTGTTTGAATCTTCATTAGGACATGTCACTCTTACATTGTACACCTAGGAGGTTTTTAATAAATATTTGGTTACAAATGAATGAAGAAAGCTAAGAGGAGTTTTACCTGTTATTATAATGCTGGTGAGAGAGAAGGAAGAAAATTTAGCCGTATTTTAATAATAGGCTCGGCATATGTTAGATAAACTAATAATTTCTCAGATTTCTACTTTAAAAAGTCACATGCCAACACCAAAGAAGGTTACTGTTATTCTTATTTGGGTAATAATGTTACACTCGGTTGTGAAGAATTGGTGTCCTTTAAATTAATAGCAGCAGTATTTTAACTTTGTGGCTATGTGTGAGGATTGGTTTCAAAGCTCTCTACTTCATACGGTGACTCCCTGGAGCATAATCTCTCAGGAATATGATAAGAATCTAATAACACTCTTTAGAGGTGATGCCATGTGGCTGATTGAGAAGGTCAAGAAAATCTCATTTGAGGTGACCTTATTGTTTGGTGATTTGGCTTGACATTTTTAGTCCCAAATTGGATTTTGTAATTAAAGAACTGTGGCCTTAGTTTTCAAGAAATATTGGATGGGCAATCTAAAAGAACATGATATAATTCAATCTATCACCTGCCCAATCAAGATCCTGCTTGACAGGGGGCACTGAGAACTTTCATTCTAAGTGAGTACACAAATCCAACTACATTATGGTATTTTGTATTAGAGAGAAACAACAAAAATATGAAATCTCTGTAAATAGCTCGAACTTTCCTAAGGCCTAAACTAAAATTACCATTTTAACATGACCTATATAAATTGTTAGAGCACAAAATAGGTCAATCACTTTTAAGGAGGCATTCAGTTAAATCTTGACTGACCTTACAAATAAAGAAGGAAAGGTGGAGAAATACCAAAGAACATACATACTCTAGGACATAATTACTCTAATGCTTTTTCTCATTACTTGATAACGTTCTAACAAAGGGACAAATATAATGGTAAGAAGTAAATGTAAGAAAACATTGTGTATCTGTCACTTAGAAAGAAATGGATGATACTGCAAGACTGAAGACTTTACTCATGGGTTTTATTAGAGCAAAAGGGCTGATGTTCTATGGTACATTTAAAAAAGGGGGACTTAGGGGAGTGCTGAATCTTTGTGTCCCCCTCCCCACAATTCATATGTTGAAACCCTAATCCCCAATGTGATAGTATTTGCAGCACCCTGGGTAGGTAATTGAGTCATGAGGGTGAAGTTCTCACTAGTGCCCTTATAAGAAAAGACACAAGGGAGCTTCCTTTCTCTTTGTCTCATGTGAGGTTACAACAAGAAGATGGCCTTCTGCAAATGAGGAAGAGTGTACTCAAAGACACGCAGATCTGCTGGCGCCTTGATCTTAAACTTCCCAGCCTCCAGAACTGTGAAATAAATGGTTGCTGTTTAGTCCACCCAGTCTATGGTAGTTTTGTTGTAGCACCCCAACTCACTAAGACAGGAAATGATGTAGTCTGTATTTGTACCGACTGTCTTTAACAACACTGCCTCAAGTTGGTAATTATAACTTGTGTCTAAACATTATGTCTGTGTGTGTGTATTTTTTTACAATATTAACCCAAAACAAGATAATCTGAGTTGCTAAATAAAAACTACTATTTGACCCACACTGCAAGGAAGGTACTTGCAAACACTGAAGGCAAATTGAAATGTCCTACGAACCATGAAAGCCAGTGGTAGAGGCAGAGATGAAGAACTTTAAGCACAGCTATCACTCAAAAGACTTACCACTGTAAAGTTCCTTCCTGATTCACGCACATTTATTACCATCCTCAGGACACTGACTGAATTCAGATTTTTCCCAACACCTGTTATTGTGCTCCCACCACTGGCAAAATAAAACAAAATAGCAATATTTAGAGTTTTGTTCCCTACCAAGTATTTAAAGAGAGAAGTTCAATTAAATCACATGTAGTGATTGCAAGTTGCAGCCACAGCCATAGTCAAATGGAAGTTCAGTGGTAATGGTTCTTTGGAAACAACTTATCTAACTTGAAAATATTTTTTAAATTCACATTTCACAAAATGAAGAAATGTATTTGTCTTTTTATTCACCAAATATGCAAAACAATTTTTTCTTTCTGGAAAAAAAAAAAGAACAAACTTAACTATTTTTTTAAAATATATTTTTATTGATTTCAGAGAGAGGAAAGGAGAGGGAGAGAAAGAGACAGAAATATCAGTGATGAGAGAGTTATTGATTGGCTGTCTCCTCCAAGCTTCCGACTTGAGATCGAGTCAGCAACCCGGGCATGTGCCCTGACTGGGAATCGAGCCCCAATTGCTTGGATCCTGGGTCGACGCTCAACCGCTGAGCCACGCCCGGCTGGGCTAACTATTGTTGCTAGACTGACAAAATTAATGGAAACAAGGCAGACTGAAGTGGGTCCAATGAGATACTGACTTAAAGTGACTCTAGTATAGGGAAAAGCCCTATGTAAAGTAGGGAGGAGAAAAATATACTGAAGAATGAGGGAAATAAAGATGATTCTACTTTTGAGCACTAAGTTTAGTATAGAAGTGACATCTACATAATATAAGTGCACAAGTACTATGATGCTAATTAAATTTTTTTATTGAAATCCATTCAAAATGTAAGAGAATAGGATAAAATGTTTCTTGGCATGAACTAGCATTAATAAAGTCAAACTGCATTCTGGACAAGAACGTAGTTTTTACTCCTGAACTGGAAAGGCAGCCTTCAGGCTAGCATCATCCTAAATCCAAAACCAGATAAAAACACTACAAAGAAAGAAAATTACAGGCCAATATTCCTGATGAACATGGATACTAAAATCCTCAACAAAATATAAGCAGCCAGATCCAGCAATACATTAAAAATATCATACACCACGACCAAGTGGGATTTAGTCCAGGGATTCAAGGCTGGTACAACATCCGCAAATCAATAAATGTGATATATCACATAAACAAAATGAAGGCCAAAAATTGTATGATCATATGAATAGATGCAGAAAAGTATTCAACAAACTCCAGCACCCATTTCTGATAAAAACTCTCAACAAAGTGGGAATAGAGGGATCATACCTCAACAGAATAAAGGCCATATATGGCAGACCTAGAGCCAACATCGTACTCTGGGCAAAAACTAAAATCATTTCCCTTAAAAACAGGAACAAGACAAGGATGTCAACTTTCACCACTCCTATTCAACATAGTACTAGAAGTCCTAGCCACAGCGATCAGACAGGAAGAAAACATCAAAGGCATCCAAATTGGAAAGGAGGAAGTAAAACTGTCATTATTTGCAGATGACATGATATTGTACATAGAAAATCCTAAAGAATCCATCAAAGTACTACTAGATTTGAGAAACGAATTTGGCAAGGTAGCTGGATACAAAATCAACATCCAGAAATCAATGGCATTCTTAGACACCAACAATGAACTTTCAGAGAGAGGAACTAAAAAAAAATACCATTTACCATTGCAACTAAAAAAAATAAGATACCTAGGAATAAACTTAACCAAGGATGTAAAAGATCTGTACTTGGAAAACGACAGGACACTGAAAAAAGAAACAGAGGAAGATATAAACAGGTGGAAGAATATACCATGCTCATGGATTGGAAGAATTAGTATCATTAAAATGTCCATACTATCCAAAGCAATTTATAAATTCTATGCAATTCCTATTAAAATACCAAGCATATTTCACAGACCTAGAACAAACATTTCAAAAATTTATATGGAACCAAAAAAGACCCCGAATAGCTGCAGCCATCTTGAGAAAAAAGAACAGAGTGGGAGGGATCACATTACCAGACTTCAAACNTACCGGACTTCAAACTGTACTACAGAGCCATTGTAATCAAAACGACCTAGTATTAGTACAACAACAGACATATAGATCAATGGAACAGAACAGAGACCCCAGAAATAGACCCACGCCATTATGGTCAGTTAATATTTGACAAAGGAGGCAAGAGTATCCAATGGAGTAAAGACAGTCTCTTCAATAAGTGGTGCTGGGAAAATTGGACAGATACATGCAAAAAAATGAAACTAGACCACCAACTTTCACCATACACAAAAATAAACTCAAAATGGATAAAAGACTTAAATGTAAGTCACGAAACCATAAAAATCCTGGAAGAAAACATAGGCAGTAAAGTCACAGACATCCCACGTAGTGGACTTTTCACTGATACATCTCCTAGGGCAAGAGAAACAAAAGAAAAAATAAACATATGGGACTACATCAAACTAAAAAGCTTCTGCACAGCAAAAGAAAACAGCCTCAAAATACAAAGGAACCCCACGGTCTGGGAAAACATATTTGCCAAGGATGTATCTGATAAGGGGCTAATTTCCAAAGTGTACAAAGAACTCATACTACTCAGCAAGAGGAAGACACACAACCCAATTAAGAAATGGGCAAAGGACCTGAATAGACACTTCTCCAAACAGGACATGCAGATGGCCAAGAGACACATGAGAAAATGCTCAATGTTGCTAATCATGAGAGACATGCAAATTAAAAACACAATGAGGTGTCACTTCACACCTGTAAGAATGGCTGCCATCAACAAATCAACAAATGCCTCGTGCTGGTGAGGATGTGGAGAAAGGGGAACCCTGGTACACTGCTGGTGGGAATGCAGACTGGTACAGCCACTATGGAAAACAGTATGGAGGTTCCTCAAAAAATTAAAAATGAAGCTGCCTTTTGACCTAGTGATCCCACTCCTAGGAATGTATCCTAAGAATCCTGAAACACTAATCAGAAAGAATATATGCACCCCTATGTTCATAGCAGTGCGGTCTACAATAGCTAAGATCTGGGAACAGCCCAAGTGCCCATCAGTAGATGAATGGATAAAAAAGCTGTGGGATATTTACACCATGGAATATTACGTAGCTGTAAAAAAGAAGGATGGTGTACCCTTTGGGAAGTATGGATGGACCTGGAGAATATTATGCTAAGTGAAATAAGTCAGGCAGAGAAAGACAAACATCACATGATTTCCCTTATATGTGGAATCTAAAGAACTTAATAAACTGATGAACAGAATAGATTCAATGACATGGAAGCATAGATCAGACTGACAAATATCAGAGGGATGGAGGAGGGTGGGTGGGTGGAGGGGGAGAGAGTAACCAAAGAATTTATATGCATATATGCACAATGGATAATGGACACGGATAATGGTGGGGAGAGGGACTGGGGAGGGAGATGGGACAGGGTGGAATGGGTCATTGGGGAGAAAAAGGGACATCTGTAATATTTTAAACAAACAAACAAAAATAAATAAATGAATAAATAAATAAAAGGCAGCCTTTAAAAGAAATGCAACAGCATCAAAGCTAAAGATAAAACCACAATTCCTCTTGAGTATTCGACAGCCAAATCATCCTTATGTTCCTTACTTTTTACACTCATCAGAAATTTTTACTTACCTAATAAAAGATTTGGTTGGACGAATTTCATAGACAATGGGGTCTTCCTGGTAACTGAAGCTGTCAGTCTCTCTGTTGGCTAAGTCAATTTTCAATTTAATAGGAAACTCAGTTGGAGAGGTTTGGGCTGGAGTATAACATTCAAGAATACTATCTGATACACTGTATCAAAAAAACAAAAAAATTTTGAAGAAATTGGACTTTAGCTATTAAAGACACATATATTTGAAAATTATATCCATAAATCAAAACGGTATCACTCAATGACTCCTAAATAGGAATTTCCTGATGTGGTCTAGATAAAAGATCTTTCTAATGTAGGCTGTTTACACTTGACTAGATCCCAAGTTTAGTCTTGTTTCAGCAAGCCATCCTTGACTTCAAAACATTTAGGATTTTAAGCAATTATTAAGATATCCTTTTGGTATTTGATTAAACTGAGCTGTTCCAATTCTAAGAAGTAAAAATATAACTTCTCTTCAATCCCAATCTCCCCCATGTTTCTCACCTCTGCAAAGTGATTTAGTCTAATTGTAAATCTTGATGGAAATGTTTATTTCATTTTATTGTCATTATTAGAATTTCACAACTCATAGTATAGTTAGGATACTAAGATAAAACAGGAGAGAAGATGAATGGAAAGATAAAACTTAAAGGTGGAATTAATAAACAACAAGGGAAAGGTAGACAAATGAGCAAAAGGGAGTAGATGGATTTGGGAAAGAAGAGGTTACATCAGCAGAAGAGTAAATGATAAATAACTTGGATTTTTTTTCCATTAAAAAAAGGAATAATTTTTTCTTAATTTGTTAGATGTAGATATTAATTCTACATGACTGATGCAACAAAAAACAAATTTACAACACCTTTTTAAAGTACAGGTTTTTCCACCAATTGAGATGTGTCTAGAATTCCCACTGTTAAGGTACTTTCCAGTCAAAGTAAGTAAAGTGCCACCAGTCTTAGGACCATAACTAGGAGAAATACTTGTTATTATAGGATCCTGATGAGAGATAAAAAAAAAAGCAAAGTAGCTTGTTAATTTTATAACTCTAAATAAATTAACAATTAAATATCCTACTTCATGAGAAAAGTAATGCTTAGACTTACCACATAAGAAAATGTACTGTTTTGCGATGTCCCTTGACCACTTGAAATAATTATGGACAAATTGAAATGCTCATTCATTGCAGGACCAACTGTGCATTTTAACCTGAAAAACCCCCCACAAAGTTTAATATGTTACAAATCCAAAGGAGGCATTTTTTAGTTTGGCTGTTTTACATGAAGGGACATTAACTCTAATGTGTGAGCTGACTACTTTGACTAGCAAGCAGAGATTTGCGGTAAACATTATGGCTGAAAAGTGTATAATTCTATTTCTATACTATTACACTATCTTTATATTGACTGTATTATATTATTTATACTGACAAAACAGGAAATGTTAAACCTCATCAATGCAGAATTCACCAATTGAAAAGTTCATAATAATCTAAGTCTAATCATATAAAATTGTAGGCATAATGTTTGGCATATTTAACAAATAGTATCTCAATAGCATAACAATGGCTAATGATAAATAAGCCAAATCCTTTTATTAAAGTATGTCCACAGGTGCAGTTCTGTGATTACACTTGTCACGTGTTTACTTAAATTACTTAAAAAATAATGAGATTGTGACAGGTTTTCCATAGAATTGTTTTTGAATAATCTTATAGTCCTAGAGATTATAAATATAATTTATTTTATTAAATAACTTTTAAAGAAGAGAATTAATTGTTTCACTTCTAAAGACTCTAATTTATAATGCAATCAGTAAGAATTTACAAGGTATATTTCAGAAATAATTTGTTAGACCATTAAGCTAAAAAAGTATGACATTAATGGATGTTTTGTTCTTAATAAAATGAATAGATTTAGACCTCTGTGTAATTCTGAAAGAAATTCTACTAGGTATAAAATAATCACTTGATAGACTAGCATGAACCATAAAACTTTAAATGTTTGGTTCTTGTTACTACATAACTAAATATTTTTGGATTCTTGTTCATTATGGGATTCAGATCTTATAGAAGGTACATGCAGAATATAGTAGAACAAGCACAGGTCTTGGATCAGGAAAACTGAGCTTGAAGGTCTATTCACCTCTTACTCTCTGAATTACCTTTCTGATCTTCAGGAACCACTTTTAAAAAATAGGAATAATATTGCTATCTTCCAGGATTTGGGAATGGCTAACTGAGATACACTACTTATATTACAATGCCAATAAATATCAGCTGAATGTAAATTTAAACTCATCAAAAAATGAGTCTCAAAAATGTGATTCAGCTACTCTACTACATTTCTGAGGTTTAGAAAGTAAATTTAGGAGACAGGGTACATACTAAGCTATTTACTGATTTTTATAGAAAAAAACCATTGGATACTATATCTGAAGACTTTAAAGACAGAGTGACTCCAACCAACTAGTGCTTTCAAATCTACCCAGACAATTTCTGAAGAGTTGTTACAAAAATGACTGAAAACTCCCAAATGCGGGATTCTTTTTTTCATCTAGGTAATGTCAACTTTCTCCCTCTTTAATCCTGGGATTAAAGAAGACTAAAAAAACCAAAACAAAAAAAATCCAAAAGGGATGTGATAGACCATGACTTGTACGGGATAAACTTTTAGGGCAATTTTTACAAGTATTCATTCAAACATAAAACTTGTTTTCCAATCACATCCCAGCAAAGTATTTTAAGATCCTTACATATTTGTTGTACTCTCACTGAAGGTCAAGGTGCAGCTCTCATTTCCAAGGAGAATTCTGGTTTTCTTTATATCACTGAATCCAAAGTCCCAGCCACATATGGTCAGCGTTGTCCCTCCTTCCAGAGGGGCACTAGTTGGGAACACCTACAAGGACAACATAGAACTTATAACCCCCAATATATTTTCTTTCATATGTGTGGAAAACAAAATACGTATGCTCAAATAGTCTGAAATTCTTTCATTCTCCCACTACCTAAAAAAAAATTAATTTTCACTAAAGAAATGGTGGCAAATTTCAGAGTATCTGGAACAAACATTAAAACTATATGACATGTTGCCCTGGCTGGTATGGCTCAGTTGGTTGAGTGTCATCCCATATACCAAAAAGATGGTGCTTTTGATTCCCTGTCAGGGCACATACCTGGGAGGCGACTGATCAATGTCTCTCCCTCACATGGATGTTTCTCTCTCTCTCTCTTTCTCAAATCAATGGAAACATGTCCTCAGGTGAGGATTTACCCCCCTCTCTCCCCAAACAAAAAAACTATCTGATGTGCTGATGAAACAAGTTGTTTTCAGGAGATCCAGAGAAAGGACAGAGGGCAGATTCAGCCTGGGTGGGAATGAAGGGCCTTCTTGGGCTACTCTGAAATGATTTCATCTTCTAGGAAACTCCCAGGCTAGAGAAGACATGCTTTGGACCCAGACTTTTATGCTTAGAACTCTGATTATAACTCCTTCATGGGCCTCTAGATGAAACTGCTCAAAACATCTTCATGAGCCCTAGAAACCAAGCTCCAACATATGCTTGTTCTGTGTGCTACACTCTTGTTGCTATGATAATCCCCATCCAGAGAAGAAAGTCACAATAAAAATACCTCTTTTGATATTCAACATTTTCAGTTGCATTTAGCAGCTTTCACAATATCAAACACATAGGTGGTATTCAAAACATATCTGCCATTTATTTATAAATCATCTACTATGTGCCAGGTAGCAACACATGAATAAGTGAATCTATTTCTTTTACTTGTTAATTCACATTTATTATTGATTTGCAATTTTTCTTTAAATATGGTCACTATTTGACATATACCAATTGGTCAGTTGATACATTCAGCCTTTAAAAAATGATGTAATATTTAATACATTCAGTATATTATTTATATTAGTAAGAGATAAAAACAAAACTGGAGAGAGCCCAAATATGATCTATGATACATAGAGCTATTATAGTAATGTTTCTAATAATCTCCCTTGGCATTATTTTACATCTCATTTCTAGGATTTTTCTTGCCCCATATTAAATAAATAATATGTTCATTTTATTCTTGCAGGTATGTGAAAAGTAAATTTTAAATTAATTAATAAATAAATTTACCATATGACCCAGAAACCCCTCTTCTGGGTAACTGCCCCCAAAACTCTAAAACATGTATTCACTCCTATGTTCACTGCAGCATTATTCACAGTGGCCAAGACATGGAGACAACCAAAGTATCCTTCAGTAGATGATTGGAAAAAGAAAATGTGGTACATATACAATGGAATACTACTCAGCCATAAGAAAAGATGAAATACTGCCATTTGTGACAACATGGATGGACCTTGAGAATACTATACTCAGTCAGAAATAAGTCAGTCAGAAAAAGCTAAGAACCATATGATTCCACTCATAGGTGGGATATAAAACTGAATCTCATAGACACACACACCAGTATGGTAGTTACCAGAGAGAAGGGGATAGGAGGTTATTAAAGGGTGAAGGGGGCCAAATATATGGTGACCGAAAATGATTTGACTTTGGGTGGTGGGAACACAACACAATATACAGATCATGTATCATAGAAATGTACACTTGAAACCTATATGATCTTATTAACTAATGTCACCCCAATAAATTTAATAATAAAAAAGAACCAGTAGTATAAATGACTAAGAGATTTTTTGATTTGTGTACCACCCCAAAAAAACAAACACAAAAAAAACAAACTTTGATGACCGTAATATAAGATAGCATTAGGCCCTTAGGAAGTCTATAAGACATGGGTTCTTAGACTAAAACTAGTAAAACAAAACACATTTTTAAGTTAAAAATAAGCTTCTCCTCAGCAGTTTTGTGACAATTGAGAAAGGAAATGCTCTTTTGGGGGGACATATTGTAAATTGTGCTGTAAAGTACAATGGTGGGAAAACATAGCACCACTCAAAAAGGTATTTGTTTAAGGCCAGTTAGTGAAAATCTAAAAGTGATATTTTTCACAATTTACAAGGGTAGCAAAATTAAAATTTGCAAAGATTCCCATCCTTCCCAAATAATAATTGCAAACCAAAGTCTTAACTTACCCTTGTTTAACAAGCCCCTTTAAAGTTTTGGCTTAATGCTTTTATGATAGCTGTTTTACCCATTAAATCCATTACACAGTTGTGCCTTTCTTGAAAACTTACTTGCCCATGTCTAGCCAAATGAGAACTGCTAGGAAAAAAATATTTGTTTATTATTATGCTAGAAATCTAGTAGGAGAGAATAAGACACCTAACCCTCCTGGACTTTCTTCAGCCTGAGATGGCCACACAGCTGCTGTTCCCTCTTAACAAAGCTTCCTCATAAAAAACAGCTGCCAAGGCCTGATCCCACTGCTAGGTCCTCCCTTTCTATGTAAAAACTGAAGTCTGTCACTCTACATACATCATGAATTTCTATATAAGGCAAAGGGGTTGTGTGATGATTTGAAAAAAGACACTGAGAGGTGTTCAAATGGTGCAATAGAAATGGTTATTATAAAAACTTGGCTAGACAATCAGGTTTTGAAAGACCAGCTCTACTTAGTTTTTCTCTCCAGGCTGAAATACTAGAGGTGGGCATCTAAGGATTTTCCCTAGCTTATGGGGTAATGTTCACTTTTCCAGGGGAAAGGAAGGAAGCAGTATTGACCACACACCCTTGGACAGAACCAACAATGGGCTGGCAAACTCTGAGTTATCCTGAAGGGCAGAGAAACTCTGTGGGAAGGAAATGAGTGTCCAGAGGCTGGGTCTCCCACCTGTCTACACAGGGGAAAAATAGCTAAAAAAGGAGCTAGTGTCCTTTCACAGGTGAAAATGATTCAAATGATCATGTTTTCAAAATCCACCAAGATAATACATGAGAAAGCTAGAAACAACAATAAAAAACCTTGGAAAATTAAAATTTGCAATGTACCAGTAATGTAAGATATTAACAATAAGGGAAACCAGGTGAAGAGTCTATAGAAAAACAACAACAACAAAGTTAAACTTTGTTCAGTAGGAAAAAAGTCACAAATATATTGCTGGCAGTGCATTGATTGCACAGTCCTTGCCCCCATAAGATATTGCTATTGCTTCTTATCTGAGTCTTCTGATCAATTAATAAACTGTTTTATTGTCTCACTGGGATTGAATTCAATCCTACAAGATATTACAATTTTATCCTGATAAATTCAGAATACATTGGAAAGTGCTCTTCCTTTTCTAAAGCACTTCTCATTGCTCTTTAAGTACAAGATCAGATATGTTAGAAACAAAATAATGGGCTTGCAATTCTGAAATCTCTCATATGTGGAGCTGCAAAGAATTTCAGCCACTGAACATCATTTACCTTGAAAAGCAAGTTAATTTACATTTATCAGAAAGTGAAATCCTATACATTAGCTGGGTTTTGTGCCTACAGAATTTAAGACAGATAAGAAAAAGATGAATAATCTGTCTTATTTTTTGCAGTAAGAATGCTGAATGTCACGCTCTAGTGCAGCATGAAATCTTCTTAACAACTATGAATCGAAAGGGATTTATGGACTCAGCTGCACTACTTTCCTTCTAACCATACAGCTCAAGCCTCACTGACTCGTGCATGATATAAAATTGCCAACTAGAGTGTTGGAGTTAGGAAAGGTGAGAGAGGAGGTAAACTCAAACATTAGAAGAGATTTTCTGGTTTCAGAAAATTCTAAAATATTTACTCTGTTTTTAACTATTTTAACATGGCTTTCATGATGAATAAAAGAAAGCACAATGGTCAAAATTAAATGTTTCATTTGTATAGGTTCTCAACTGGCTTTTTATTTAAAACAGCAGCTTGGTTATTTCTGAAATAAAACTGTTGTGATTTAACTGCATGTGTGCACACACACACAGACACACACAGCCACAAACACACCACACTCCTTATATCTCTTTTATGGAATAGTTGAGTTCAGTTTTCTAGTGTCTCAAATTGCCAAGGCTGTGTGTTTAAAAAAAAGTATAAAATTGCATGTGGTTTTAAAAGTATATTAAAGAACAACAAAAAAGTGGACATAAACACTACAGTATAGATAGTTTCCTTACTATCTTCTTGTTTATTCCTTGGCCAATCAAGCTAGGTCTTAATAATTGTGCCACACCCAACAGAAAATAATTTGGTTTAAAACCTAGTCACCCCATACAAGTCTTGTCCCAAACCATAACTAACTGAAAATAGCCATGCACTTGGGGGCAGTTCCTGTTCTGACTTGTACACTTTGCTTACTTGGGCTTGAACCAGGCAACTAAGACCTTTAACTTGAATCTTTCACAAGGACCATTTACTAAAGTCCAACTGTTCTACATGCAGGCAGAGAAAATACACACTGAGTCCTCACCAGGGAAGTATTTTCAAGCAAAATGTGTTTGGATCAAGATATTTTTTAAAAATGCCAGGGAGATTTTCAAAGTGCCAAATATATACTTAAGAAACTAAGGCAACAGAGAGAGATGGTGGCTACAATGTCTGGGCTGAAGTCCACTGCTGGAAGCTAAGTTCTCTAATAGCAGGAGGTACTTTTGTCTTGTCTGAGACTGTATCTCCCCAGTGTCTAAAAGACTGCCTACTGTGTAGTATGCATTCAAATATTTTTGGAGTAAATTAAAGAATAAAATGACTCACACAGTATAGATTTTAGTATAGTCACACCGGCTGCACATTTATGGCTCTTCCAAGAACTTGGAGAGAAGGTGCACAGCCACTCATGGGTGTTGACCATTTACTTGGGAAGTAACCTCTAATCTCATCTGTGATGATACAAGGCCACCATCTCTGGAGTCAGACAGGAAGAAACCTGTCCTGTCTGCCTCAGAGTGACTATAATCTCTAGCTTGCACCATTTGGTATAGGATTGTGGTTATGCCATGAGCAGATCTGTATGTGTGGTAGAGGTTCACATCTAGGCACCTGGCAGATAAAGTAGGTGGTGAGGATTCAGAGAATGGGGGAGCCAGGAGGGAACAGGTCCTGATGTGAGGAAATAGGGAGCTTATTTACATAGTACTAAGGGAAAGCAATTGGCCAAGGAGAAAATCCACTCAGTGAGTGTGAAGCAGGTACAGGACTCTGGGGATTTGACCAAATGCCACCCTAAAAAAAACTTGGAGGGAGATAGTATTTTGGCTGATTTCTCATAGCTAAATGAGTAAACTGAATTTTAGATTTTTTTCAGTAGTGGGATTTGTGTTTACCAAAAAACATACTGATAGCTGCCAGAGATTCCTACCTTATAGATTGTAGGATGACAGATCTCTTGAGTCCATGTTCCGTTGGGGCATTCCTCCAATCGCACACATTTGTTGTGGCACCAGCCACACTGCACAAAGGGAGGGGCAGAGAGGCACTGACTGCAGGAGTGGAAATGGTCACAGCCCAAGCCATTCAATGGGATCTTGGTGATCTGTAAAGCAAAGTGATAGAAAGAGCTCCCAGAAATTTTGTTTGTTAAATGAAAACTAAATATACCAAGTATACATGTAAATATAATTTTACAGTCTATCAGAGATAACACCTACATGTGCAAATCATGTAATAATGATTAGGTGATTAAAGTAAAAAAATCAAATTCCTTTCTTCCCTCTACCGTAGTCATGTACATGATAGAAGTTACCATTACTGTCCAGTGAACACAAGTACTGTCATGCAATGCTAGAGGTCCTATTTAGTAGAGAAATTTTGCTTGAGACAATTGTAAAATAACAAGAGTATAATTTGAGCATCTGGAAAACATAAACCCTCAGGAAATTCTAAGTAAGTTTACATATCATTCTGGCATCAAGATGCACCTCCTTCTCTCAGAGAAAAGGGGTTATTGTGTGGTGTCAAATTCCAATATGCATTTTAGGATCAATCTGCCTGTACTAGAGTTCTTACCTTAGGACTGTAATACTAATTCAGTATGCTTGTTTTTCTCATTGAGAAATACAGGAGAAAAGGAAAAGTACAGTACATATTATGAAGGGGACCTCCCTTAGCTCCTATCTTCCCTGAATAAAAATTTAACTTGATTTCAAAAGATCTCTGAAATACTCAAGAAAGAAAAGAACTTGATAGAGGAGAGGTGAATCCAAGACAAAGAAAGAAGTTAAAAAAGACCACATGACACTGGCAATAAATACCCACTCAGGAAAAACTGCATTCATGGCACCCCCTTGTGGGAACAGGGTTTACCTTCTTCCCTGTGACAACCAATGTGTAGCCACTTTGGTTTAATGGGTGCTCCACAATTGCTTCAGGAGACACGGGGTGGGAATCCAGGCGAAAATTCACATGTGGGGTTGATGATCCTGATCGAGAAACTACAACCTGAGAAACAAAAGCGAAAACACCTTTATTCCAACAAGCTCAGTTTAAATACAAGTGGAAAGTGTGGATGATAATGGTAATAATAGATTAGGAAAGTTCGTGGGTGTTTAAACTAAAGGGTTAATGGTTTATCTCATTGTAAATCAATATGACATCTTCTAATTTTCTGCCTTGAAGACAATTCATCTGAACCCCCAAGACAGTCTTTTCCTATGATCTTTTAATGGTTTTTAGGGAAGTAGATCTCCCAGTCAATCAGCCAGGACATGCAGACAAATCTTCATGATTACGTCGGGAACTAGAGGAGCCAAAACTCTCCCCAGAACAGAAGACTTCACTTATGCTATGGGGATTCTGAATTATTTTTAAATCTATCCTTCTGATCTTCCTGATCAGTCAGCTTCCCTTGAGGTAATGGAAAGCATACTGGATGGGGATTCTGGAGACCTGGATCTAGTTCCATGCTCTGCTACTCTTAAGCCATATTTATAGACCTTTTGAGGTCAAAATTGGCCCTTAGCTACTTTGAAATGATGTGCTGTCATTTTTATTAACCATTGTTCCACCATATGTTATTACTTGGATTATAATAAAGTTCTGCTTCTCAGACTGGTTTAAAAAGGCCTGATGGTTTTAACAATGCCTTGGAAATGAGGTTTGATAACCGGTATCATTCCTGCTTTCAGGTACTTCTAATTTGGAATGCTTCGCAGCTATATACTTTCCATCTTCCCTGTTGCTAAAACCCAGTAATAATGAAGTCCAGGAGTAAAATCAGGGTGACTATCTGAGATGAACATTCAGACTTTAGGAGAGTTTAGTGGTGTTCAGAGAAACTTTCATTCTTAAATGAGGGTGCAAGCACAGCTCTGAGCTTGAAAGTGTGAAATTTCCCAACATTTCAAATACCCTTTTAGGTTGCATTGAAAGTGTATTTACTTGCCATAGGACTGAAATCACTGAACAAGTATGAATATTTGTGAGACTGGGATTAGTTAAATGACCACTCCTTCTACCTCTGCTTTCTTATCTTTAAAATGGGAATAAAAATTGCAGGAGTAAATAACTGCTTAGTACCTAACAAACATATACAACATATAAATATTTTGGGGAGCTAGTAGTAAATTTTTCTCTTAAACACAATGAGGGAGTCAAGCAGCCTGAAACAATCTGGGAAGATCCCCAAAGTATCCAATTTGCTCCTAGAGAGTAAACTGTTGATAGAGAAACTAACCAAGCTCTCAGAGAGCCATAAAAGTTAAACATCATGACATTTTTTCCCCTAACATAAGTTCTATCCCAAACACTCAACACTTTTAAAACATCTCCATTAAGGAGGGTGGTGATATTTGTACAGAAGTTAAATGATGGATCAAAGGTCATTTGGTTAGGATGGGAGAGGATGGAAACTATTGTTATTTATTACTAAATTTAGAGTCAAGTAGGTATTTGTGACTTTTGCAGTTAAAGTAAAAAGAAGTTTAATTACCAATCCAACCTCCCTCTGGGTGCTGGTTATAAGCAGAGTATCTGGACATCAGACTTAGAAAGCTTCTATCCCAAATTATCCAGATTTCAGTTATCCAATTTTCCAAACCTAACTCACCACCTCGTATTTTTCCTACCCCTAATCCCCCTCTTAATAATTTCCTGATTGTTGCCAATTACTTCAAACTGAAAAGATTAAAAACAAACAAAAATCTCTCACATACAAGTCAAAAACAAAACAAAACACCAGCCTGTCTTAATACCCTGACTCTGTTTTCTGCCTCATTCTGTGCTTTCCACTTCACTGAAGATTAATCATCTCTATGAACCTTCCTATGAATATTTGCATTCTGTGTCTGTCTCTCTTGTATCTTCCATTCTATTCAGACCTGCCAAATAATCACCACCTCCTAGTACCCGTTTTTCTACTATCTTCTTGCTCTTTTAAAAATCACTTCCTGAATTTATAATAAGCAATCTCTTCTTAATTACTAGGCCATCATCTTTGACTTTATCAAATATCCAAAGCCCATTCAAATATTCATTCCTCAGAAAGGATTAACCTCTCCCTCTCTTTTCCTAAAGAAGCTCTTTGCACCTCTGGAACTTGTATAGATTGATTCAGTTAAGACTTTTTGTCTGGTGAGCACCATATATGTAGTACTCTTCTAACAGGTAACAGTCAGGCATTGGGTTAAGTGCCTTAAATGGCTATTTTGTTTACTCCTTACAATAATTTTACAAGGTAGGTATTATTACTTCCCTTAAAGAAAATACAACAGAGAATTTTAGCAGGGAAGTATGAGTCAGGTTTCCAAGGAGCTTTATTGAATGCTTGAATCTGTGTGCTCTGCTTCTCCTTAAACACTTAACTGCTACACTCTTGGAGCACCAGAGTAAATACCAATAAAAGGCTTCAACTCTGAGCTCCTAAAAGCCACTCATGAGTCAAAGCATTAAAACAAATTTCACAATATATGTGCCTTGCCAAATACTCCTTGTTTCAGTAACATTGGCTGCACAAGTAAGTGTGCCTAAGGAGAAAGATTCCACATCTAAAAAGCTTCTGATGGCACAGAGGAAACTGTACTAGCACAGCTGGCAAGCTCTACTTTTGATCATTAGCTAGGATAAGTGCGGCTTGATACAGAAAATGAGATGAACCTCAGAAGACAGGAAGGCTGTGTGGAAAAGTGAGACGACTGTTTGGAATTTTGAGCAGAGGTCACCTCACAGATGCAAATACCTTTTGAGTTGATCATTAGCCCTTTCTCTGCAGGGATACCTAAAGTGCCAAGAATGCTTTTCTATCATTCATTCCTCACTTTCATTCATTGCCCAAATTCTAAATAATTAACCACCTTAACTCTCAAAATACCCCTGAAGCTATGTTTGCAAAATTAGGAGTTCCTTTTGGTTGTCACAGAGATATTTCTAGGGGCAAAACTAAATCTAGCATCTAGATTTAATCCTTATGATAAATCACTGGCAATCCTAGGACAATTAGTATGAAATAGAAGACTGGCAATTATCTTTTGAGTTTCTACAGTGTTGACAACTAATCTTTAGTGTTTAGGTCTCAAAATATTTTTCTCTAATGCTCTTGAAAATGTAAGACATACATTTGGGGTGGAGGAGTAGGGAGGAATATGAATTTGCTTAATTGTTGTGGGTGTGATCTCAAATTATCTGGGACAGGACATGGGAAAGAAATATATGTACAAGTTAAATAAATAAATCCTTTGTGGCAAGGTCCGAAAATTAATAAGCCTGAAGAAAATAATTTTATGTGATATATCTACAAATACATAAAGGCTGGATACTCTCATCCCACACAAAAACTTTTGTTTTAAATTAAACTGTTTTAGAATTTAATTTTCTTTAAGAATGATGAATAAAATTTAACATAAGACATTTATAAGTGGCTTTCTGTCTACTTTTCATTTTTTAAAAAAAGTGGACAATTAATTGCATTTAGTATATTCATAGATTTGTGCAACCATTACCAAAACAGTTGTGCAACACTGTCATTACCTCAACCCACACCCCTTACCCATCATCCCATCTCCTCATATTCTCCAGTCTCTGATAACCACTAATCTGCTTTATATTTCTACAGATTTTCCTGTTCTGGATATTTCATACAGATGGAATTCTATAACATGTGGTTGTTATGCAAAGTGCAGAGGTCCCAGAAAACCTCGGTATATTGTTCTTGGGTTCCCAAAGAAATAACCTGGAGGACTGGCTGTGAAAAACATGGGCTTATTAGGCTTTACGTGCGCACCAGTGGTGGCTGACTGGTGAAGTTTACCACCACATTGGCTGCCACTGGTGAAGTTGAACTGCTAGGTCCTATCCAGCCTGTGGACAAGCCACACTGAGGGCGGCCAGCCAGTGCTATTATTTCACTGCCACCCAGACTTTCCCAACACAAGGTTTTAGAGTACAGAAAACAGAGAAAAACAAGGCATGCAGGGGGAAGGGGGACTTGCAAAAGCTGTGTGAGATAAAAATGCTGTTTTCTTGACTGAGGAGCTGGCCAAGCTCCCAAGGTCTCATAGTCCACTTACTGATGGCCTTCACTATATTGCCCACAGAGTAGGAGGGGGAAGTGAAGCATGGAAAGGGGGCCATGTTCCTATTTACCATACAGTGGTCTTTTATTTTCTTTTGGATTAAAACAGTCATTTTTCCCCATAGATTTAATTAACTAATTAATTAATTTTTTGATCAGTAACGGCTTTCTTACTTCATCATGTCCTAACAGAGACTGGCAATATGGTTCCAAAAGAAAGTCACTACCTAGCCTTTAAAGAACTTCCCTGCTCCCGCAGATCTCTCAAGATTTGAAAGCGTGCTTTCTAACTCTAAAGACCAAAATTTGGTAAACAAGTTCATACTCATCCTACCTGTTTGTTTCAGCAATTTTGCACCTCAATCCTGTATCTTATTTTGACTTTCTAGATAATAGTGTCCTGATTCTCTCAGTCCAGTCTCTTAAGATACTCAGCGATGGATGACTTTGATCATTTGTTGCCTTTTTCCAGATTTCAGTCTTCCTTTCATTGTTTTTGGAGCAATACTCAACATCCAGGCATAGATTTACTATAATTTTGTCAAAGTATAAGTTCTATTTTCTGTCTTGTTTCAGTAATTTGTGAGTATCACCCAGGGTGGGTAGATTTCAGGCTTTTTGGAGCTGCATTTCAGGCTGTTGTTTAATGCACTATATATAATAACTTTTCAATCTCTTTCCAGAATAGTGGTTATCAGCTCAGAGTAGAGCCCCTCATTGGACAAATTCTTATTGGTTAAAGAGAAAAATCATTAAAGCAATCACTCATGTGAAGGTGCTATTTTCTTATTTTACTTTTATTAAATTTATTGGGGTCTCATTGGTTAATAGGGTCATATAGGTTTCAAGTGTACATTACTATGATATATGATCTGTATGTTGCATTGTGAGCCCACCATCTAAAGTCAAATAATTCTTCTGTTACCATATATTT